GTGTGTGTGTGTGTGTGTGTGTGTGTGTGTGTGTGTGTGTGTGTGTGTGTGTGTGTGTGTGTGTGTGTGTGTGTGTGTGTGTGTGTGTGTAAATGAGTGTGTTTGGATGTTTCCCAGTGATGGGTTGCAGCTGGAAGGGTATCCGCTACGTAAAACATATGCTGGATAAGTTGGTGGTTCATTCCGCTGTGGTGACTCCAGATTAATAAAGGGACTAAGCTGAAAACTCTTGTGTGAGGCGTTTCTAATGCAGCGTCTATGGGGCAGGGCGGTAAATTGGACATTGTTCTCTTTTGGCTGCCGTTGTCAGTCACACATTATTTTTTATTTTTTCTGAAAATCTTGATAACACCATTGTGGAGTTTTAATTTTATTATTTCAGCAAATAAGATTGTTAAAAAAATTGTTGTACTCTCCCTTTCCCTGCGCTCTATGTTTACCCAACTATGACGACTTCTGCTGCTGAGAAACCCAGAAACATGAAAACTGAGGGTTCATTAATCTAATCAAAAGTGATTTTAGCTATCATAGTCAGTTCCTTAGCAATTGTAGAGAAGGCAACACAGAGACACTGAAGCTAGCACTGGATTCCTGCGCTACTTCAGTGTGCAAGCATGACATTTGTAACTTTTTTGTATTTATTTGTCATTATTTCCCATGGCATAACCAATTGTTTCCATGATAGTCTTTATCTTTAGATAACCTTTTAAAAGTGTGCTTAACATCGAGCAGTCTGCTTCTCCACGGTGTCGTCTGGATCCTTAAATTGCAAAAGCCCTTTAATTTTCAATGGATTCTGATTTGCTGACAGTGTTTTATCTGCTGGGGAAAATCATTCTTGAAGTCATCTCAGTGATATTGTTCTTCTGTATCTTTATCGTTGTGGTGTGAACTGTGCTATTTTTTAACACTGTGAATGATTTTTAGAACTCTTTTAATAGTTATTTTTTTATCGTTATCATGCTTGGTATGTACGGGCCTCAAGTTTCCTTATTTCTCTTATTTCAAGTGATCCGTCACCCCATAATGTTTTCCACATATCATAGGTAACTTCTGTTAATCTGTAATTAGGTAGGGATTTATATCAAAAACTGGACACAGTGAGGTCACGCTGGGTCTCATTTACCCATGTCGTCTTAAGAATTTTCTTAAAAGTGTTTCTTAGAAGCATAAGAGCAAACTACGCCGGATTCACAATATGAATTTTATTAAAAAATTATTTGCATGTGCCAGTTTCTCCAAATGACATTAAGATACTGTATAATTCTTAAATAATAAGTACTTATGATTTACTTATGATGTATATAAAATACTTTAAAAGAAGAAAATACATTTACCAACTGGCTTTGACTCATCCAGACTGCAAAACTAGGCTAACAAAGGCTACTCATGGTGTTTTCAAGCTTAAGTGTATTACATAAAAATTATTGAAGTTTATTTATGCTGCTTTTAATTGATAAAATATAATATTTCTCAGTATAGTTTGGTTTTGTCTGGCCAAAACTGGAAATTTTGTCATCATTCTCCAATTGGTCTGCTGTGAACATGAAACAAGAATGTTGGAAACCAGTTACCATAGACTTTCGTTGTATTTTTTTGTTCTTACTATGGGAAGAGTTTTATGAAAGTTTAGAACCACTTAAGTGTGAGGAAATCGTGAGGAAATTAACATTTTGGGGTGAACTATCCCTTTAAGCACAGTACAAGTGATGTCTGTGCTCATTGAGTGGGTGTGGCCTCTCTGGCACCAGATGAGGTCATCGCTGCCCCCTGCTGCTCACTGTTAGTATTGCAGCTCTCAGATCATCCTAAATATTACACTGACAGACTGAAGGCCTCGGTTCTTTATAAACTTTTTTTTGTTTGTTTGTTTTGCATGAGGGTTTATGAAAAAGCCTGTGTGTCTATTTAAAGTGCAATGAGTCAGCCAACTTCATATCTGCACAGCTTTTTCCCTTTTTTGTAGTGAGTTTTCTCCTTATTTCCTGAGTTTTTGTTTATTTGTGATGTTATCAAGATTTTACATAGCTTACATGCAATAGGCTGATTTCTGCCCCTTTTCATATGAACACACTGTTTTGTTAAACCTTTAACAGGCACATTTTTAAAAAATAAAATGGGTAAAGTTGATTTGCAGATACCAAACTAAGCAATTTTTCAGTTTTGTTTTACTGATAACACATTCATATATGGTCAGTCATGCAGCTACAGTGCTTGTTAAATGATTAATTAGAATCAGTGAACATAGAAACTTATTGATTTACAATAAATAAATGTCATTGCATCACTGTCAATCTAAATGTCATAATGTCAACATGTCATTGTGTAAAAGCTTCTTTCTTAATCACTTCAGTTTCTTGCTTTCTTTACTTAAATTCTGCTTTTCTCATTCTGTCATATTTTGTCTTGTTTTCTCCTCCTCTCTTCATACTTTTTCTTCTGGTCATATCTAGCAAGAGAATCCCATATACAAGAGCCCCATTAATAAATTCCAGAATCCAAGTTATGGAAATAAAGGCGTCGCGCTCTGAGTCTGTACTCTTCCTCTCTCCTCCTCGCATGGCCTTTTGTTTATTTGCATTTCTGTCTGTTCACCTTTCTGGTTCTTCAGCAACAACCTCAGCCTTGTGAACAGTGTGTAAAATGTCCTGTCTAATTCACTAATTATCACAAGCCACAAAGTGATGAGAGTGTTTACCCAAACAAATGAAGAAAAAAGATTTATTCACCCGCATGTCATTTAAAAAGAGTGTAATTCAAACGATTGTCGATACTAAATGCACTAGTATTTAAATGAATGCGTATACAAGATGACTGCAAGTACAGTGTTTGTGCTTGGTTTTGTGCCTTTAGGAATGCTTGCTTTAACCATTGTTTAATCTATTTGCAGTGCAGTGTGCTAACCCTGACGATTATGTTGTTTGTATTTTATTTTTCGTCTCTTTTTGTTGTTCTTTAGGGTGAAAACCCCATTTACAAGAGCGCTGTGACAACGGTGGTCAACCCTAAATATGAGGGCAAATAATGGACGAACGTGTCTATCCCCAATCTACACTGTATGCAGAACAATTCAAGAGGAACAGAAGCGTTGAAGTTCACTTTGTTTCTTTAACTTTTTAATTTTTTTTGCATTTTTTTAAAACCACCTATCGGCTGTGCATTTGCCACTGTTCAGTATAATCAATTAACCTGTGTTTCTATGCATCCTTTAGAAACTGTACAGTATGTATAAACTTGAGTTTTTACTTTTTTATGCAAAAAAAAAAAATCCAATGTTCAATTTTGATTTTTAGCCACAGATCTGCCTTGTTTTTTTGAATGTTAAAAGCCGTCACATTGGGATAGATGACAGGGGTTTTATAGGTAAGATAAGGTCAAGTCTGCATTAAGAATGTTGTTTGAGACGCAATAGATAAATATTCAAGGAACACTCCGCTTTTTGGGGGGAAATAGGCTTTTTTACAATCCTCCAAGTGTTACACAACTAAGTTTTACCTTATTGAATCCATTCAGCCAATTCCTGGGTCTGGCAGGAGCGCTTTTAGCTTAGCATAAATCATTGAGTCGGATTAGACCAGTAGCATCTCGCTCAAAGTCAAAAAGTCATTTTTCCTATTTAAAACTTGACTCTTTTTGTAGTGACGCTGTGTAATAAGACTGATGGAAAATGATAAGTAGCTTGCTTTGGGCTATTTTCAGGTTTTGTATAATATCATTGTGCCTGCTGTAGCCATGATATGGCAGCAAAGTTCCTTGATTATTACACCAGAAGGAAAGTATAGTTCCTAGCCATATCAGCCTAAAGAAAATAGCAGCTTTCCATGGAGTTTTTACATTTTTTATGCAATCTTTGAAAATCTCAATGTTCCCTTGACTTTTAGCCACAGATCTGCCTTGTTTTTCTGAATGTTAAAAGCCGTCACATTAGGATAGATGACAGAGGTTTTGTTGGTAAGATAAGGTCAAGTCTGCATTAAGAATGTTGTTTGAGACATAATAGATTGAAATTTGAGGAACACTTCGCTTTTTTTGGAAATAAGCTTTTTTCACAAGCCCCCAAGTGTTAAACAATCGAGTTTTGCCTTGTTCAATCCATTCAGTCGATATCTGGGTCTGGCGGGAGCACTCTTAGCTTAGCTTAGCATAAATCATTGAATCAGATTAGACCGTTAGCATCTCACTAAAAGTCAAAAAGTCGTTTTTCCTATTGAAAACTTGACTCTTTTTGTAGTTATGCTGTGTAATAAGACTGTTGGAAAATGATAAGTAGAGACTATTTTCAGGTTTTGTTTAATATCATTGTGCCTTCTGCAGCCATGACATGGCAGCAAAGTTCCTTGATTATTACACCAGAATGAAAGTATAAATCCTAGTCATGTCAGCCTAAAGAAAGCAGCTTTCCATTGAGTTTTTACTTTTTTTATGTAATCTTTGAAAATCTCAATGTTCCCTTGACTTTTAGCCACAGATCTGCCTTGTTTTTGCTGAATGTTAAAAGCCGACGCATTGGGATAGATGACAGGGGTTTTGTAGGTAAGATAAGGTCAAGTCTGCATTAAGTATGTTGTCTAAGACACGACAGATTGATATTTAAGCCACACTCCACTATTTTGAGGGAAATAGGGTGTTTTTACAAGCCCACAAGTGTTAAACAACTGAGTTTTATCTTACTGAATCCATTCAGTCGATCTCTGGGTTTGGCGGGAGCGCTATTAGCTCAGTGCAGCACAAATCATTGAATCGGATTAGACCATTAGCATCTCGATCAGTCAAAAAGTCATTTTTTCTGTTTAAAACTTGACTCATTTTGTAGTTATGCTGTGTAATAAGACTAATGGAAAATAAGTAGCTTGCTCTGGACTATTTTCAAGGTTTGTATAATTTCATTGTGCCTGCTGTAGCCATGATATGGCAGCAAAGTTCCCTGATTATTACACCAGAACGAGATTATGGTTCCTAGACATACCAGCCTCTAGAAAATAGCTACTTTCCATTTCCCATCAGACTTTGTAGATGTTGGAACTACAGACGAGTCTAGCTTTAAATAGCAAATATCAAAACTCTTTTACAATTTTAAATGAGATGCTAATGGTCTAATCTGATTCAATGATTTATGCTAAGCTAAATGTGCTCCTGCCAGACTCGGAGATTGACTGAATGGATTTAAAAATGGTAAAACTCACCTACTTAACTCTAGGGGACGTGTAAATCAAGACTTTTTCAAAAAAAACAAAAACAAAAGAAGAGCAGTGTTCCTTTAATGGATATCCACTGCTTTATTCAGTATTTAGTTAAGTAATCGAATCAGTTTGTGTCGTTTGATGGTACAGGAAACTTTGTGAATTAATGAATGGATGGGGTGTCCTGTCACTGGTATAGTAGGTAACTGTAGCGGACCACTGCTGTTTGTACACATGGTGCTTTTCTCATGTAGACTCTGCATATGTCGTCTGCATAATTCTGGCTGATTTGAGTCCAGTCTATAATGCTTAGGCCTATGCGAGTCTGGATGTGTGTGTGTGCTTACATCGCCTTGCTTTGGTCTGCGAGTCAAATGGTTTTGTGACTTTTTTTTATTGCGCTTACTAATGATTTTGAATCTAAAATGGACAGATTTAGTATCATGCAAACCAACTGTTGTAAAGGTTTTGAGTGTTTGATTGAAATGCCTTCCGCTTTGCAACATCTGAGTTGTTCAGAAAATGTCAGAGGGATTTTTTTGGCCACTGTCTGTGAATGAAACAATCAACTTGTGGTTAGTGCAGACATTAGTGTAATGTCATATGAAAAGATCTTCAGGTTTTACATTTGTTTAAAGAATGAGGAATGAAACTCAGGTCCTGGATTTTTCTCTTTCACTGATGCCAAATATTTACGTCTACTGTGCAAGAACTATATTTTACTGTCGTTTCTTTTAGTCTCTCCGTGAGTGGAGTTGTTTCACATTTCTTTTTATAATTGAATTTGTCCATTTTAACTGCATTAGATTATGGTTGGTTGGTTGGTAAAGATCAGTGTTATAAAAAAATAATTACATGTTTCTCCCTTTTTTATCTTCAGAGCTTGTAAAATTGTAATCATGTTACACACAATTTGCATTGTAAGTGCCTTTTTCATTTTTGCATCAAGCCCACTGTCTTTTGTTTCTACTAGTTATTTATTGAAATAAAGAACCCAAAACACTGGACTGCATTGTTATCAGGTTTGTTTTTGTGAGTCAGCATGCCTTATAATCAAACGTAAGAGATTTTATTATTAAATGACTTTTAGAAATGTCTGCGCTTTACACAGTTTAGCTGTGTAGTTTGTTTTTTCATCCATTTATATTCAGCACGTAGGCTATATACCATGGTACTGTTAAAAATTTGATTCAGTTTGACAGATGAGCTGATCTATATAAAGTGAACAAGGTAACATTTATGGAATGATGGGTTTTATGTGCATTTTTATTTTACCAATTAAAAATGCATTAAAGGTGATTGTCTTCAGAAACATTTTTTTTGTGCTGGTTGAAAGTGTCTTTACTTTCCAAAGGTAATGATTAAAGTCAATGATCTAAATGTATTTATATGTATTTTTATTTTCTGGGTAAGGCATAAAAAAGACTAAAAAATGCTCTTCTAATTATAAATTGTCAAGCCGATAATTCCCATAATTCTGATAAAAAGTGCAAACTGTCTGTCAGCAAATGTAGATTTGAACAACTGCGCACCTGTTCATGCAGATTGTGCGTGCACTCATGCCAAGGACATGAGTAACAGCGCTAAAAACAAATGCTGAATCAACTTTTTAAAATCCTCAATCAAATTTGTAGTTAGTTTTGCACGCTGGAGGGAGGACGACACTATGGCTGAAGAATTCCTAAAACTATTTGACTTCACGCAAAGCTGATGTAGATTGTGTTGTTATGAATGGGTTATATGCACAGAAGTGTTGTTCAGCCACTGAATTTTTCTGGAAACATTATGAGTATTTTCAATTTCATAAGGGACCTTTTACAGCATCAATAATATAGATTTTTATTTCGATTCCCCGCAAAAAGCCAAAACATTACATAGAAATCATTGAACAAATCATAAAAGAAGTGTAAATTTAAAGTAATTCATCTGTAGTAATAAGGGAAAAATCATTTACTTCATGAAGATCCTTTATGAAGTGTATGCTAAAGAGAAGTGCCGTAGCTTATCAAGGTGCTTAATTGCTAGAACGGCTGAAGTAGCTTGAAGATATGTTTCTGTTTGTTTCCATGTTTATACTAGTGTTTGTGGCACAGGGATGAGGAACTGTAATGCTGTCAAGGTCTAACTAGAACTTCAGCAGTGCAAAAGCATGGGATGAAAACCGGTTTCAAGGATTACAGCAGTTTGGAAAAGTCACTGCTTTAAAATAGCAAAAGTTGTCATACCGTTCCTAGGGTATATTTAAGTTTATTTATTTTACATCTTGTCAAAGACGATCTTATTTATTTAGGGCAACTATATTTCCAGTACTAAACCATCCACATCAAAAGTTACTGGACAGCCCACAATTTAGCAAATGTTTGAAAAAAAAAAAATGCTATAATCATCTATATACTGCATAACAAGCTAATGAACCTGAAATGCAGTGTTCAGTGGAAAAAAATGTAAAATTTTTTTTTTTTTTTACAAACATAAAAATAACTTATTTGAGCGCAGTAATAACAATACTGTGAAACGTGATATTTTATCCAGGGTTATCATACCGTCAGAATCTTATACCGGCCTATGCCTAACTATGCCTAACTAGCCTACCTGGAAAACAACGGCACATATCGTTCATAAACCACACCTGTCAACATTAGGCTGTGAAAATAAGGGGAAAGGAAGGCAATGCGGCCGTTTTTATATTTATTTTAAAGTGTTTTCAAGCCTAAATGAGAGGAAGTATAGTTCTCTTGAACAGCCATTCACATTTAAGAGCAAGGGGCGTCCCCTGGTGGTTCAGGGGAATACTTTAACTGTATTAAAGCGGGACGGGAGAATTTTGACCGGTATGTCATAAACCAATCAGAACCAAGCCTTCCACAACTCCCTACTTTTAGGTTCGAGAGGACACTCAGACTGTATGAACAAAGTAAACTACACTCAAACTTTACTTCAATATTTCAGAAACGTCCTGTAAATTTATACTGTGAACATTTATTTACAACACAACTTCAGGAGGAGCCTTAGCAGTAGCTACATATCAAGGTAAGTAACTGAACTGTTGTAAAAATTAAATGTAAGTAAAGCGTTTATGTTATATATATGTTGGTCAGCTTTTACAATGTAGATCCTGTTTACAATATAAGCAGTGTTCATATACATTTAATCTGACATTAAGAACTTAGAAAGTGTGTTAACAGCATCCTGTTCTTTCACATTTAGATGGATATAACAGTTTTGTTATTATCAGCTCTGCTAGGATTTGTTTCTTATGTCGGTGCTAACACAGGTAGGCTAATATTCAATTTAGCAACATCAACTTTTTAGTGCCTAAGGGAACATTTTAATGTTTAGGTATTTGGGGTTTGTTTCCTAGTAATCATGTGGGTAAATGTGAAGTGCTTTATTATTAATATGCAAAGAAAAACCTTTAGAAATGATGTTCTGCAAAATCAGTAATCACTGAATGTTGTTGTGTTGTGCTCAGACAGTAATCCATGCATTTCTGCAAATGCCAAAACCTGTGGAGAGTGTATTCAGATCGGCCCACAGTGTGTGTGGTGCAAAGATCCTGTAAGTTCTTTCATCTACACTGATTTTCTCCTTGTATGACTGTTGATCAGAGTCTTCCTGGACGATGTGTAGCTCAGCAAGTCTCTTCTTGCATCTAAACAGGATTTCAAACCTTCACGCTGTGATGACATTGAGTCCATGGCGAAAGCTGGCTGCACTGCAGACGGTGTAGAAAACCCTCGAGGAGCGGTCACTATTGACAAGAACAAACCCGTCACAAACCGTAAAACTGATGGAGGACAGAATCTGAGGCCCGATGAAATCACGCAGATTCAGCCACAGAAAGTCAAGCTGAACCTTCGCTCAGGTACTGGATCACAGAAACATCACTGGATCTGTCTAAATATGTTTTGAGAAAAGAATCATGACACTCTCATCCAAATGTCAATCAAAATATTGCTTAGTCATCTCAACTCAGCAAGCAATGGGCTTGGGCTGTCAGTAAAAATCTATTAGATGTCTAACAACAGTCAAAAATAGACTAGTGACCAAATAGACAGAAATAAAGGACTACAGATTCGAAGTTTGCGTAATCTGTCTATTAGATGACTAGTTGTCTATGTTAAGACGTGTATTAAACACAAAAATATTTGTTTGCTAAGAATGTTGCGCCAAACTTAATTGACTTATTTTGTTTCTTGTTTCTTAGTCACAGCAGAAATAAATTTGAGAATAAATTTGCCACTCAATGTAATGAAAGTGAATGAGTTATTGTAATGAGAAAATGAACAAGCAGCAGCATTCATTCATTTTCATTCAACTTAGTCTCTATTTCAGAGGTCACCACAGTGGAATCACCTCCCAAATATTCCGGCATATGACCTTTCAGCCACAACCCAGTACTGGGAAACACTTATTCACACACATTACAGCCAATTAAGTTTATTAAATTCACGATTAGCGACTGTGGGAGAAACTGAAGCACTCAGAGAAATATGCAAACTCCACACAGAGCTGCCAACTGGTCCAGCCGGGACTCAAACCAATGACTTTCTTGCTGGTAGGCAACAGTGTTAACCACTGAGCCATATACGGTCCATTATATAAGTACGGTGGCCAAGAGAGCTTAACGCGCAGCAATTTTTCCCGAATGATGTATAACAGACCAAGGAATTTTTCCTAAAGACGCGACTGGGATGAGAATCAGCAGACCATGGTGCTCCACTGGAAACAGAGGGTTTGCCATCTCCAGTTTGGAGGAGAGTCCTTACCACAGGTGGAGGAGTTTAAGTATCTCAGGGTTTTGTTCATGAGTGAGTGAAGGTAATGATTGACAGGCGTATTGGTGCAGCTGTAATGCAGTCGATGAACCGGTCTGTTGTGGAAAAAGAAGGAGCGGAGCAGAAAGACAAAGCTCTCGATTTACTCGAATCTACGTTCCTACTCTCACCTATGGTCATGAGCTTTGGGTCATCACCAAAAAGACAAGATCTCGGAGACAAGCAGCCGAAATGAGTTCGGATTGAGTGAGAAGCTCTGTCACCCGCGAGGAGCTCGGAGTAGAGCCGATGCTCCTCCATATTGAGAGAAGTCAGCTGAGGTGGAAAGCAAACTGTTTCAGATGCCTCCGGGACACCTACTTAGGGAGGTGTTCCAGGCATTTCCCTCTAGGAGGAGGCCTTGGGGAAGAGACAGGACACGGTGAAGGGACTATTTCTCAAGATTGGCCAGGGAATGCCTCGGGATCCCCCCGGAGGAGCTGGAGAAAGTGTCTGGGGAGAGGGAAGTCTGGGGATCTCTCTTAAGACAGTTGCAAAACAGCGTAATACAATGAGTTGCCTAATTACCCTAACTTGCCTAATTAACCTAATTAAGCCTTTAAATGTCACTGTAAGCTGAATTCTAGTATCTTAAAAAATATCTAGTTAAATATTATTCACTGTCATCATGGCAAAGACAAATAAAAAAATCTGTTTTTAGAAATGAGTTATTAAAAATATTATGTTTAGAAATGTGTTGGAAAAAAATCTCTCCGTTAAACAGAAATTGTGGGAAAAACATGCAGGGTGGCTAATAATTTTGACTTTAACTGTATATTCACTTTATATTGAACTATTCACTTAATTATGAATATAGTAAGAGGTCTGATCCCCTGTAAAAGAAACACATTTTACCTTTCTGTATGTTTCTCATCTCTTCTCTCCACAGGAGAAGCACAGAAGTTTACTCTCAAGTTTAAGAGGGCAGAGGATTATCCCATTGATCTGTACTTCCTGATGGACCTCAGTCACTCTATGCTGAGCAATTTGGAAAATTTCAAAAACCTGGGAACCGAACTCGCCAATGAGATGAAGGACATCACGAAAGACCTGCGTATAGGTCAGGAGGACACAAACGCTCTCGTTCACACCTTTGTTTGTTTTTAAAGCTGTTAAATGATCCGATAACTCCTGTTTGCAGGTTTTGGTTCATTCTTTAGGAAACCTTCCATTCAGACGAACCCATGTTTTCCAGATAATTGCATAGCTCCATTCAGTTACTTTAATGTACTGAGCTTGACGGACGATCATGCATTGTTTACACAAGAAATCAGCAAGCTGAAAACCTCTGGAAACCTGGATTCTTCAGAGGCAGGATTAGAGGCATTGATGCAGGCTGCTGTCTGCACGGTGGGTCAAGATGAACATTCCTCAAAAAAATAACTAGAGTCAAAACATGTTTGCACATGCAGTGTTGTACCTGTGCACACATCGAATCTAATGGTAAATGCTTCAAATTTAGGAATGAGAAAGCTGAACACAAAGTATATGATACTGTGTACAACAAATTGCTGCGTCGTCATGTTATATATTTAGTCATGGGACGGTTAAGATTCTAATGGTATGATAACCTTAGATAAAAATAGCACTGTTTGTCAGTATCACGGTATTGTGAGTACCTTGGTTCAAAATAAAAAAAAATAATAATAATTTTTTATCCCTATTGAACTTGATATATTTTATTTTCAGAAACATTTATAATATTTTGGAACAGTAAACATGTCAGGCTAAATAAATAAAATAAGTCACAGACGTCACAGAACATTCGTTTCAAAAACACAGATTTCTTCTTGTATAGGCATTTCTGATATCTTTCTTTTCTTTCGATATGAAGTAAGCCACTGCACTGTTCATTTTCAGACCCTACTTGGCTGTGCGATTTGGGGAAAATATCTAATTACAATTTTTTTGATAGATATTGTGATTTCGATTTAATTTGCGATTTTATTTTGTTGTCAAGCTTCAGCTCAATAATCTGTATCGCAGGTTCTTACTGTTAAAATGCAGCGAGTGTTAGTTAAAAAAAGGACCTGAAATGATATTAACTTACTTAAACATTATTCAAATAGTTTTTAAAATGTTCAGAAATTAAAATATTTTTTCTCTAGATCAAACATTAAACACTAATTAAATGACCTTACCTTTCTTTAAACAAGTTAAACTAAAATTAGGGAGATAGTGTAGTATGCAGACAAAAATAATAATATTATAAAAATACAGAACAATCAGCAAACTAACCTGGATGAAATAACTCTGAAATTGTACTTTGCTGTTGCTTACTACTATACTGAGTGTCACAGGCAATACTTTTAGTTGACTTTTTAGCAAGACACTCTTTATATAGCCGCCTGTGCTGCTTTTTTAGTTGCTGGTTGTTGTATTTTCTCATGCTGTCGCAACAATTCTCACAAATTAACAGTTTTTGTTTCGGTGTCTGTGACTTTAAAACTAAAATATTCCCATATTACAGATCTTCTGTTTTTCTTTTATGTTAATCCATCTATTAATGCAAGCTCCATTCTCCGTTCTGTATAGTTTGGTTGCTCAATTCTAATCAATTCACTCACTTGGCTAGATCCCACCCAGACGGCAGTCACGCATTTTCTCTGGCTGGGCAAATTAAATAATACATAAATAATTCATATCGCAGCCTCTTGCAGTTAGCTAATTGCAACGTTCTAAATCGCAGTTGTGATTCGATTGAAATTTATCGTACAGCCCTACATGTAAGTTACATTTAAATTTAGGTGTTAAGCAGATGATTTTTCCAAAGTGAGGAGGCATACAGTGATTCAACAAGAAGAGGCAATACACATAAAAAGTGCGAGTTATACAAAGTAACATTTTTTAGAGAGAGAGAAAACGCGTTTCTACAAGCGGTTTGTTTAGGCCATCCACCTGTGTGAAGCACACTCAGAATTTAGAGTATACTGGTTGATGTGTGATGAGGTGGAGCAGAGAAGAGGGTATACATTTGTTAAGTGGTGACGTATGGAATATTTTTTCCAGGTTCAAGCCACTACACATTTTATTTGAGAAAATATTCATTTATGACAACTTTTTAGTCATATCACACATTAAAATGAGTTTTATATACAATCATGGTGTACACAACAGCCTCTGGACTTGCTGCATCACAGACACCAATATTTTAACAATCTATAAAAAATTTATCACTTTCTGGTCTTCTAATATTAGGCATGGATTAAATCGCGGTCTTGATTTTCAAAAGTATTACAGCACTTTGTAAATGTTTATTATTACCATTTGATGAGTCTCATACAGTTTGATAGACCTCTTAGACTTGAAAGCCGCTTCACGTGACGTCACACTTAACAAGCGGATTGGTTTTTATTCATCAGGTGTTTAGGTGCTCTTAGAAAACATAGGTTCAGTTGTCGTTTGAAAGCTACCAGTGAGTTTGCAGCCCGTGTGGGAATAGGAAGATCATTCCAACACCATGGAACATTAAAAGAAAAGGTTTTGGAAAGTATAGCTTCTCTGGAATGGTGCCAGGGGATGTAGACCTTCAGGAGCAGGTGGATGTAAGAGGGTGCAGTGCCAGTAGCTGTTCTGTAAGCTAGCATCAATGATTTTAAATTTTGAATGTTGGTTTATAAGTGATATGTTTTTCAGATGTTTCCTGAATTGCGGGCTGACCAGTAACTTTTGATGTGTACGGTTATTTTCTGTTGGAGATACTGTCACCCTAAAAAATGTACACATACCGTAGGAACAATATAATACAAAATAGATTATTTTAAAACCTTGACTTTTCCAAACTACGGTAAACCTTGAAACCGGTTATCGCCCCATGCCTATTGCAACTTGATGGTTCTGATTTTTCAATCAAAAAAACAAACCATGATGTCACCATGTGATTGAGCATTTATACACTAGGAAACACACTAATAAGAGTCCTAGGCATCCCTTTGGACAAAACCTGTATTCTGTCTGCTGTGTTTCAATTTGTATCTCAGGACGTGATTGGCTGGAGGAATGTCACTCGTCTCCTTGTGTTTTTCACGGATGCTGGACTGCGTTTTTCTGGTGATGGAAAACGAGGTGGCATTGTTCGTCTAAATGATGGGAAATGCCTTCTTGACGATAATATGTACACCAGAAGTGACTACTCTGTAAGTATGGGTTTCTCAGACAGACTGATACCCTAGTTTAACTATCCATCTTTATGTATCATTTGATGTATTTTCACAGGACTACCCCAGCCTCTCTCAGCTGGTAGACACAGTTACTGACAATAGCATTCACACTATCTTTGCTGTGACAGAGCAGTATCGGGATCTTTATCAGGTGTGTACATGCCACGCTGCAACAACATCATGTTCATCATTATAAGCTTCAAACTTAAAGGTATAGTTCATTCAAAAATGAAAATTATGTTATTAAATACTCACTCACATGTCATTCCAATCCTTATTCATCCTCAGAACACAATTGAAGATATTTTAGATTAAATTTGAGAGCTCCCACATCCTCCATAGACATAAAATACCAAGAAAAAAAAACAATCCTCAAAACCAACAAAATGCCTTCAGTGGTTCGAGTGGAATATAATTAAGCTAAAAAAATACTTTTGAGCACACATAAAACAATGATGACTTATTCAAGGTTCCCTTCAATGTCAGTATAGGCCGCACATTCACAAGTGCACTGGGCTTATTTTACACACTCAGTTTTATTTTATACACACAAGGTCGCATATGCCTCATATGCCTTGGATGCACCAGTACATTGTTTCAAACTGAGGAAGTCATGGGTAGGCATCCAAGATAATGTTCACTGTGACATTGGACAACAGAGGTAAGGATCCACATGCAGGGGCAAATAGGAGCATACACAAAATCCAAGAACATAGTCAAAAGCAAGCAAACTGTCAGGGAAGGGCGCAAAACAACAGGAAGAATAAACAAAAACACGGAAGGGCAAGGCAAGGAAAACGCTTTCTAATGCTAACAGAAAAAAGACTCAGCAAAGTGTATGTAAAAAGTAAGGTGTATAAATAGTTCTGGCCGTTTGTTCATGATGAGCTTCCGCTGTGTGTGAGTAATCCATCGCAATGTGGAACTAGTGTATGCGTAAGGTGCATGATGGGAGGTGTAGTTCATTTTAGTGGAAAATGTGTAGTTCTCCAGCGATATACAAACACTAGATCACTCGTGATCCTGAGAGTTCACCCTTTACTGACTCTGAGAAGAAGAAACAAAATGAAAGCATTCTTGAATTCTCAAAGAATTTGTATTCTAAAGATAAACAAACATATAGGTTGTGATGGGCAAAGCAAGGCTTCATGAAATACTTGAACAGAATGAAGCAAATGTGTCGAAGTTTTGTAACGTTTCGAAACCCATCTGTACACAGACATCTAGTGGTCATTTTTATGTATTACTCTGGAACAGCTTCAGCAAAGAAACAGTAAAGCAAATTGAGGTATTAAAACCCATGTTGTAGAGTTGAGGTTTCAAGTGATTTAGTGGAGCGGTGAGAATTCCTGACTAGCATGCAGAGATAATGGGTTTGAATTCAGGGTGATGCAGCTATAGATGTTAGTTTTTAAATGCTCTGTTCTTGTGACGTGTTTTGTTTTAACATTGGTCTGACATCCCACTGAACACTTTGTGAATAAATATGTCTTGTTTTAGTCATAAAAAGTAACAATATTGAAATACATCAAGTCATAATTTCAGAATATTTGTACAAGCCGGGATTCAAACTCGGGCCATTTGCAGCATCGTTACTCTGTGTACACGCACAGTCCACTAGGCTACGTAAGAAAGATATTTGTTTTTCCGACCCTGTCAGTCAAATGCAGATTCGCCAGGTTTTGAATCGCGGTTGTTGCTAGATCAAATACAGTTGAGGCAGCAAGTTAACAAGAATTATTTTTATTTATTTATTAAATTGACCATTTATTGTATTTTATTAACGTCTACCCAACCCGCACAGTAATGTAAAAACAGTAGTTGTACAGAGTATTATTTATCTTGTTTATTAAATTTCCTATTTATTGTATTTTATTAACGCCTACCCCCACCCTAACCCTAAACCCAACCGTCACAGTACTGTAAAAATATTAATTATTGTTATGCAGTGTCACAAAAATGATGCTGTATTGATGTGTGTATATCTGCAGCAGTATCCTATCTAGACTTTACATCAAATCGCTTCTAAAATGACCATTTTTTGCATTGCTGTAGTCACGTGACCTGGTGTTTCGAAACACTTTAGTCATGTGATCTGGGTGTTTCTTATCATTCTTCAGGATCTCAACATTGAGTCAAAACTCAATCACATCAGCCATCCCTACATCTAGGGCTCAGGTGTCAAACTCAGTTCCTGGAGGGTCGCAGCGTTGAACAGTTTAGTTCCAAGAGTAATTAAACACACCTGATCAAACTAACTGAGTGCTTTAGGCTTGTTTGAAATCTACAGATAGGTGTGTTGAAGCAGGGCTGAAAACTCTGCAGGTGTTTGACACCCCTGATCTAGAGGCTTTGGAACAACATGAGAGTGTGTAATTAATAACAGAATTACAATTTTTGTGTGAACTAATCCTTTAACTGAGAATGTTTAATGAACTGAGTTTGACTTGGAGTACAAATGTATGTGTTTTGCAATAGGAGCTGTCTGCTAAAGTGCCTAACTCAGCAGTGGGGACACTCTCCACCAGTGGGGACAATCTGGCTAAGCTCGTCATTGATGCATTAATTGTGAGTTCACGTTTGATAGTGTTCAGTTCTGGTCCTTTTTAAAGTTGAAATTAGACTAAAATCACTGTTATTATTTCCTTTTTTACAAAGTATTTTACTCAACAGCCACAGGCTTGTTAGATAGATAGATGATTTAACTCACTGCTAACATGATTTAGCACAACGCTTTAATGTTTTAGCAAGTTGTTAGCATGTTTATAGCATTATTTAACACAGTGCTAGCTTATTTTAGCACATAGCATATTTTAACACTGCTAGCATGTTTCTGCTTATTTTTACAGATGTAGCATATTTTTAAAGATGTTTTAGCATATTGACGTTTTAGATAAATAGATTTGTTTGTATCTTACTGCTAACAAGCTAATCAAACAGTTCACACAGTTATGTTTGATAGTGTTCAGTTCTAGTTCTTTTTAAAGTTGAAAGGAAATTAAACTAAAATCACTGTTATTATTTCCTTTCTTTACTTGACAGCCACAGCTTGTTAGATAGATGATTTAACTCACTGCTAACATGATTTAGCACAACACTTTAATGTTTTAGCAAGTTGTTAGCATTATTTAACACAGTGCTAGCTTATTTTAGCACATTCGTGGTATGTTTTAAACACTGCTAGCATATTGGGTTGCTAGCATGTTTCTGCTTATTTTTATAGATGTTTCAGCATATTTTTAAAAGAAGTTTCAGCGTATTGGCATGTGTTAGATTAATAGATTTGTTTTTAGCATACTGCGAACAAGCAAATCAAACATTAGCAGTTATGTTTGATAGTGTTCAGCTTTAGTTCTTTTTAAAGGTGAAAGGAAATGAAACTAAAATCGCTGTTTCTAACTAAAACTAAAACTAAAATTTGAAACTAAAATCATTAGTTCCTTACAAAGGATTTTACTCAACATAGATGTAAGATTTAACTCACTGCTAACATGCTACAGGGTTGTTCATAATCTTAGATATGCACTCAATCCATTTTAATATTGGTTGAGTGGCACAGTCAGATCAACAGTTCTGTGGCAGTAAAATTAAAGGTTACTCAAAACCTTAAAATGTTTAAACTCTCATGTCTTTTTTCATCAATTATTCTTTTAAAGACAATGTTTTATTTGTTCAAAAATTTTATATCTCACAGAAAGTCTTCAGTTTAGATCATGATGAGGGTTAGGAAACTATGCCTGTAAATGTATAGCTTTGATTTATTTTTGATATTTGCCCAGCACTAATATGCTCTCTGTGTTTAATTCTGTGCATTAGCCTCTGTCCTCTGAGGTGATTGTGGAGAACAGCAAGCTACCTGATGGTGTGTCCATCTCTTACGTCTCCCACTGCAAGAACGGAGTGAATGGAAGAGGAGAAGATGGGAGAAAGTGCTCCAACATCTCCATTGGGGATGAGGTGAGAGAGTGAATGCAATATATTTCATTATGTCAAACAACACTAAATAAATAACATGAATTGTAACTCAAAACCCACTAAAATACATTACTGACAAGAAACTGAATTATTTATTTACATGTAACGATATCTGATATGCCACAATGAAACATTTATGAATGTCTATATATTTGATTTATAATTTATAAAGAAATGTTAAGTATTAACTTGGAAAAAACCATAAATTTAGCTTCTGTCTTGTAATGTGCTTACTGTGTTAGCATTCAAAAGAACATTTCACTCCCTCCACCCTCCCCCTCCAAAAAAATACACATTAGTTTCTATTTCCATTCTAAAAAATATGCAACTGTAATGTAAACACTGTGTTTTCATTATATGTGCCTCACAGGTGTTGTTTGATATAGAAATCACGGCTAAAGGCTGTCCGTCTAAAGGTAAACCAGAGACCATAAAGATCAAGCCACTGGGGTTCAGCGAGGAGGTGGAGATCTTTCTCAACTACATCTGTGAATGTGAGTGTCACAAAGACGGGATCAAAAACAGCCCCGAGTGTAGCGGAGGACAGGGAACGCTGGAGTGTGGAGTCTGCAGGTCTGAGAAGCTGTCATTCTCTCTCCTACATAAATGAAGACATGACAAACTTTCTGACTGACTGTTTTCTCTCTCATATCAGGTGTAATGAAGGTCGATCTGGCAGAATTTGTGAGTGCACCCAGGATCTGGATGCATACTGCCAGATGGATATGTCGTCAGGCATCTGCAGCAACAATGGCGAATGTGTCTGTGGAACCTGTGAGTGTAAGAAAAGAGAAAACCCGGAGGAGAGATACAGCGGAAGGTACTGCGAGTGCAACAACTTCAGCTGCGACCGCTTCAACAACAAGCTCTGTGGAGGTATAGTGACTTTAATGTCAAGTCAATATTTGCCCTCTTCACTTAATCTATTCAAGCTAGTGGACAGAGATTAAAGGTGCCATAGAGTGCATTGATTCGACATGTTCTTTGATATCTACAATTAAGTTAAAGAAAATTCTCTAAAAATGCTCATTTAGGAGGAATGGGCTATATGCACAGCAAGTGTTTTTCAGCCACTGATTAACTTAATCGGTGTGCGGTTGATGTGACTATTTTCAATTTCATGAGGTTGATTTTACAGCTTTGAGAATGTTATTTGATTGAAATATAATCAGTTAGACCGACTTAAGCATTCATTAAGTTGGTCAACCTTTAAGTGAGGTTTATTCATAAACTAATTTCAAGAGGATCAGGTTCTTATGACTGCTTGCAGCTGGTCCCGCATTTTTCAATTTATGATTCACCAATCAGACGATTCCTAAGCCATCTTCGTTTTGAAGAATCCCCCCTTTCACCCCTACCCTTCCTTCTTTCCTAGATGGGTGGCACGGTGGCCCAGTGGTTAGCACTGTTGCCTCACAGCAAGAACGTCACTGGTTCTAGTCCTTACCAAGACAGCCGACATTTCTGTGCAGAGTTTACACATTCTCCCCGAGCTCACCGGTTCCCCGGTTTCCTCCCACCGTCCAAAAACATGCAACTTAAGTTAATTGACTAATCCAAATCGGCATCATAGACATGCTCTTAGTAAGTAGTTATCTCCTAAGAGCAATCACTATCTGTTCATTAGCTACTACAGCAGGGGGATTCTCGAGATCTACCTGAGCTCAAACTCCCCTCTCGCCTTGCAAACGGATGGGAGCCCCGGGCTCGAGGATCTTATGAGCTCAGGGCTCTCTCCTGGGACAGCATGCCAAACAAGCTTTATAAACAATCATCAGCTAAGTGTGAACTCTTAAATGAAGATGAAAGACTGTTTAAATGCAAGCGTCATCAGGAGCAGCAGGTGAGTGCTGAAACTCCATTGAAAATACTGTGGAAAAATATATTTCTGTATTTAATGGAACAATGGAATATAATTCAGTGCGTCCAGTCTGAGACCCACTTTATATTGTATTTCAGTCAAACAGTAAAGATCATTGATTCACAAAGAAACCAGATATTAAATGCAACAATTTTGTAACGCTGTAACAATTTACTAAAACTGAATGCGCTGGCTTACTGAAAACAAAAAGTCCCAGTGCATATACCCCATTACCCCGGGAATCAAAAGCACTGCTTTGACCATATTTGGAATGGTCATGAATATTAATGACCTCTGCTCTGTTGCTCTGCAGCCCATGTCAATGCCTGTTCACACACAGCGTGATGAACTCTGAAACACTAACGTGGAAAATAATCGTACTTCATTTGACAAAAAAAAAAATTGAAAAACAAACAAGTAGATGCTCGTTTTAGATTTGCATTAGGGGTGATCTGTAAGCAGCTACTGTAAGTCTGCTCATCTGTTACTGCTCCTGAGTTATGTATCTAGTGCATAAAACATGCGCTAAATTATAACTATACACAACAAAAGGGACCAACAGAGATGTATTTAGAGTTTTATATTGTGAATTTAACATATATGAAAAAACCATGCAGGTATTAATAATAATCTCCGCATAAATAGATGTGTTTTATAAAGTTTATTGGTGTTCTTTCACAAAAAAAAAACAAAAAACAAAAAACAGAAGAGCTGAGTGATATAACACCATGCATAAATCCACTAAGGGCTTATGCTCAGGAGTTTATATATGTTCGTGGCCTCAAAATTCACAATAAACACGTTAGTTCAGGGGTCACCAATCTCGATCCTGGAGTGCCGGTGTCCCTCCAAGGTGTAGCTCCAACTTTCCTCAACACACCTGTCTTTGTGTTTCAAGTTTACCTAGTAAGACCTTGATTAGCTTGTTCAGGTGTGTTTGATTAGGGTTGGAGATAAAATCTGCAGGACACCGGCCCTCCAGGAACATGTTTGGTGACCACTGCGTTAGAGTAACAAGATATACATTTAAACAGACTCTATGCCACTTTGGTGTGAACACAAAAACATTGTGGACACTTACCCAAAGCTGTGGGTAGATTATCTTTTTTGTTTGTTTGTTTTAAAGGAATAGTATACCCAAAAAATAAAATAAAAGAATTAAGTCATGCTCAAGGCGAGGCAGTGGCGCAGTAACTAGTGCTGTCGCCTCACAGCAAGAAGGTCGCTGGTTCGAACCTCGGCTCAGTTGGTGTTTCTGTGTGGAGTTTGCATGTTCTCCCTGCCTTCGCATGGGTTTCCTCCGGGTGCTCCGGTTTCCCCCACAGTCCAAAGACATGCAGTACAGGTGAATTGGGTAGACTAAATTGTCTGTAGTGTATGAGTGTGTGTGTGGATGTTTCCCAGAGATGGGTTACGGCTGGAAGGGCATCCGCTGCGTAAAAACTTGCTGGATAAGTTGGCGATTCATTCCGCTGTGGCGACCCCGGATTGATAAAGGGACTAAGCCGACAAGAAAATGAATGAATGAATGAATGAAAAGTCATGCTCAAGCCAATAGTGTACACCCTATTTTTTTCAGATGAGCACAGTCAAAGTTATATTAAATAATATGGCTCCCCCCAGCTTTATAATGCGGATGAATGGAGCTTTTGGAGCTACAAAAAGCCTGTTCATGCATCATAAACATAATCTATATGGACTGCATTAATAAATGGCTTCTAAAGCAAATCAAAAACACACATTTATATAGATCTAACCATAAAGTCAGATTAAAGATTCATCAGTTTTGGTGGAAACCTTTAATATGTTCATGTGTTCTCCACAGGTCACGGTCGATGTATGTGCGGGCAGTGTGCATGTGAATTTAACTACGCCGGCAGTGCATGCCAATGCTCTATGGATACCTCGAGCTGTCTGGCCAGTAACAAACTGATCTGTAATGGACACGGCATCTGTGAATGTGGACAGTGTAAATGTTTGGACAATTGTCAAGGTCCAACCTGTGAAATCTGCCTAACCTGAAACAGTGGTGTGAAAAGGAAAAAACTGACACCTGAAAGCATATCCCTCAATTTATACTGTACATCATATTGAGACACATGTTATACATTTTAATTATTGAGTGTCATCATAGGTCAGTAAGATGATGTTGGTTGATGCAATATGTTTGCATGTTATTATAACCTACGAAACAGGTTATGATCTTACAGTATATACAAGATTTATACAATTTATATTTTTAGAAATGCTGTGATGCAAAAATACTACACAGAGTGAATTGTCTTAATGCCTGGGATTAAATATGGGTGTTTCAATTGGTTTCAGTGGTACAATTTGTCAAGAAGACCCTGAGTGATCATTTCTTATAGTGGAATATGCGGTGTATATTAAATATTACAATAATGTATCACTAAACATTCAAAACCGATTTGTCAAGTTGCACTTTCACTTATATATATGTAAAATTTGAACATTTTTATTAATCTATAAGCTTTTCACTTTACTTTGTAAATCTATAATGGCAATCTGACTGTAGGCAACACAGTGGCGCAGTAGGTGCTGTCGCCTCACAGCAAGAAGGTCGCTGGTTTGAGCCTCAGCTGGGTCAGTTGGCGTTTCTATGTGGAGTTTGCATGTTCTCCCTGTGTTTGCGTGGGTTTCCTCCGGGTGCTCCGGTTTCCCCTACAAGTCCAAAGACATGCAGGTGAATTAGGTAAGCAAAAACTGGCCATAATGTGTGTGTGTGTAATTGAGTGTGTATAGGTGTTTCCGAGTGATGTGTTGCAGCTGTAAGTGGCTTAAAACGTGTGCTGGATAAGTTGGTGGTTCATTCCGCTGTGACAACCCCTGATTAATAAAGGGACTAAGCCAAAAAGAAAATGAATGAATGAATGAAATCTGATTGTATTTAGAATTTATTCATTCATTCATTTTCTTTTCGCCTTAGTCTCTTTAAGAATCTGGGGTCGCCACAGCGGAATGAACCACCAACTTTTCCCAACATATGTTTTTATGCAGCGGATGTCCTTCTAACTGCAACCCATCACTAGAAAACACCCATACACACTCTTTCACACACATACAATATGGGCACACCCGGAGGAAACCAACGCAATCACAGGGAGAACATGCAAACTCCACACAGAAATCGCAACTGACCCAACCGAGGCTCGAACCAGCGACCTTCTTGCTGTGAGGCGATTGTGATTTCTTATTTCGACCTGCAGGTGCCTCTAGTGTTCAACATTAGCATTTCATCCATCATCTTTACACATTAGTCCTTTATAATCTCATTTTCAGAGTTCATTTACGCTTTAAATATTATACAGAAAAAAGAAAGATTTCACTCATTAAATCTTCTATGGATGATCTTTAGATATTGTTAATACTGTTAAATCAGAGCATACAATCGGTCATAAGTCATTCCTCCTGTACTTCTGTTGAATATTTCTACAAAATATACTGTAATCAAAGTGAGATTTCTATACTATTCCCTTTCTACAATTCTTCTGTCTGTCAGTCTTGAACGTTTTATGTTACAACCCTTAAACACTACAGTATTCTCACTCAGATACACATACAGTATACACTCACCGGACACTTTATTAAGTACACCTTACTAGTACTGGGTTGGACCCACTTTTGCCTTCAGAACTCCCTTAATCATTTGTGGCATAGATTTAACAAGGTATTGGAAAATGTTCCTCAGAGATTTTGGTCCATATTGACATGATAGCATCATGCAGTTGCTGCAGATTTGTCGGCTGCACATCCATGATGTGAATCTCCCATTCCATCACATCCCAAAGGTGCTCTATTGGATTGAGAGTTGAAGACTGTGGAGGCCATTTGACTACAGTAAATTCATTGTGATGTTCAAGAAACCAGTCTGAGATGATTTGTGCTTTATGACATGGTGTGTTATCCTGCTGGAAGTAGCCATCAGAAGATGGGTACACTGTGGTTATAAAGGTATGGACATGGTCAGCAACATTACTCAGGTAGTCTGTGGTGTTGACACAATGCTCAATTGGCATTAATGGCCCCAAAGTGTGCAAAGAAAGTATCCCCCACACCATTACACCACCATCACCAGCCTCAACAGTTGATACAAGGCAGTATGGATCCATGCTTTCATGTTGTTGTTGCCAAATTCTGACCCGACCATCCAAATGTTGCAGCAGAGTTCGAGACTCATCAGACCATGCAGCGTTTTTCCATTCTTCTATTGTCCAATTTTGAACCAGCTTGAACCAGCGACCTTCTTACTGTGAAGCGACAACGCTACCTACTGCGCCACGGCATGGCCCCAACAATTATTCAATCAAATGAAATTTACATAATGCTTCATATGTTTTCTAGCTTTTCTTTTTCTAATGTTACATAGTATAGTATCATATTGTTTAATCTCCTTTATAAAATGTCCACAATTTGGCTTAGCTTTGGCCCATTTTTTTTACATGAATATGGTATTTTTCAGGCAACATTATTAGTTGTATAAGAAAATAAATTGTAGGCCTACTTTTTGAATTAATTTCATTTTGTACTAAAGCAAACATGACATTATATAATCCAATTTGTGATAGTGTACCAAATGTCCTTGAAATAAAGTTAGAAACATCAATCCAAAATAATCTTGAGTATACACATAAAAAAAAAACAGATGAGTAACAGATTCTTTAACAATACCACAGAGTTTTCTCTATCCAGTTCAAATCGTTCAAATAACTCTTTTACAGGATACATTCTGTGTAAAATTTTAAAAGATACCTGTACCTGTCTCCAAAATAGAATTATTTAGACATCAAGTCTTCTCCCTAATGTGCCTCAGTGGGAAGAGCCTCACTCCCAAAAGCCCCGCCCACATCTCTCGCTCCTTCAGTTTGTGTTTCCTGTGTGTTTGTGAGGTGTGTGAAGTGCAGCTGCTGAACCACTGAACGAGACCTGCGCACACCTCACACACAGTCCCAGGACTTTCCCACACTTTTATTTCATTTTTTCTGTATTTTTTCATATGCCCTCAGGACTGTTAAAGGGTACTGTAACCCAAGACCATCAGGACAAGTTGATCATATAAACATTTACTTCCTAAACACATAACTCTAGGAAGAGGGTTGGAGAGCATGAGTTAAGGTAAGTAGATTTGATTTATTAATTTATTTTAACGACCTTAAAATCTCTTGACTTTTAAGCAGTCACAGATTATTTAATTATTGATTATGCATAAATCTGTACTTGTCTATGCTTATACAAATTATGTTTATGCAGGCAACTTTTTGCAGTGTAGATCAGATATCAGACTTTTAGATTGATTTGATTTTTATTATGAAATGTAGAATGATATGATAATTAATGTAGGCTATTTGTGTTTGAGTGTTAATCAAAATGTAGGTTAACAGAAGAGGACATGCTTGTTTCCTGGGTCTGCCTTTTCTTTCTCAGTATATTATTTGTTATCAGAGTAAATGATTAACTGTGTCTTTTCATTGTTCTGAGTCAGAGACCTCTCTGTGCCCATCCTTCTTTAAAGCCAACCGACATTTTAGCGCAAAGAATGTTTTATTTCGTAATCAAACAAATGGGTCAAGATTATTCATTAATATATATTGAACTGCCATTCACAGAACATTTTCCATGTGATGCATTTCTGTGTTGTTTTTGATGCCTTATTACTTTCAGATGAAAATGAAGCTGCTGTTATTATCAGCTCTACTTGGATTTGTCTTTTATGTTGGAGCGAAAACAGGTGATACAAGTCATTTAACTCCAACAACACAGCTACTTTTTGGTGCCTTAGGGAACATTCTTTTAATGTTTAGGTGTATTGAATGTATTGCATTGTAAACTGCTTTGGTGAACATATGAAAAAAACGATTATTTTTACAATTATATTAGATATTCTGCAAAAATACATCATTTTTAGTTGCTTTTCTTTAAAACTACACTTTAAGAAGTACACTTTAATCACAAGAAAATGTTGGGGATTTGTTCCCCCCATAGTGAATCTGACTTGTAATGCTTTTGTGTGTTGTGCTCAGACAGTAATCCATGCATTTCTGCAAATGCCAAAACCTGTGGAGAGTGTATTCAGATCGGCCCACAGTGTGTGTGGTGCAAAGATCCTGTAAGTTCTTTCATCCACACTGATTTTCTCCTTGTATGACTGTTGATCAGAGTCTTCCTGGACGATGTGTAGCTCAGCAAGTCTCTTCTTGCATCTAAACAGGATTTCAAACCTTCACGCTGTGATGACATTGAGTCCATGGCGAAAGCTGGCTGCACTGCAGACGGTGTAGAAAACCCTAGAGGAGCGGTCACTATTGACAAGAACAAACCCGTCACAAACCGTAAAACTGATGGAGGACAGAATCTGAGGCCCGATGAAATCACACAGATTCAGCCACAGAAAGTCACGCTGAACCTTCGCTCAGGTACTGGATTTGTCTGAATGTGTTGTGAGATATGAATCAGAAGTTGAATATGTGAGTTCAATATGTGACATTTCTGTCATCATTTACTCAGCCTGTATGGCTTTGTTTATTTCATTGAACACAAAAGGAGAGTTTCTGAGGAATACTGATTATATCTACCAATCTTTTCCACTAAGCCAAAGCATGTAAGGACTGAGAGAACACGTTTGAAAAAAAAAATTACAACAGTATTATAAATGTGATCCATGCAATTACTGCAATACATTTTTTTAATAATGATTTTTTTTTAGGGTTTTTAAACTTTAATGGACAGAATAGTGCAGAGAATTGACAGGAAAAAATTGTTGGGAGCAGAGAGAAGGGAATAGTCGGCAAAACACCTTAAGTCTGAAATCGAACTCTGGTCGCCGTGAGCACCATGGTGCTATATGTCGGCGCTCTTAACCACTAGGTTATTGTGTACGCTGACACATTTTTTTAACTAAATACATCTTACGTTATATTGTTACTAGAGATAGTCATGCAGATTGAGTTGGACCTTTTAAATGAATCAGATGTCCTAGTTCACTGAGGCCGTCTGTGTTTTATAAAAGCATTGTTTGCCATCTCTGGGCATGAGTTGTTTTGAACTGTTGGTAATGACATTAATTGTGATTAAATCTGTTTTTGGGAAATCCGGAATTAATTTACAAGTTAGATTTGATCCTGGAGAGCACGGTGACTCAATGGTTAGCACTGTCACCTCACAGCAAGAAAGTTGCTGCTTTGAGTTAGGGCAAGGCAAGTTGGCATTTCTGTGTGGAGTTTGAATGTTCTCCCTGTGTTCGCGTGGGTTTTCTTAGGTGCTCCGGTTTCCCCCACAATCCAAAGACATGCGCTATAGTTGAGTTGGATGAACTAAATTAGTCGTAGTGTATGTGTGTGATTGAGTGTGTATGGATGTTTCCCAGTGATGGATCGCAGCTGGAGGGGCAGCCACTGCATGAAACATATGCTGGATAAGTTGGCGGTTCACACCGCTGTGGATACCCCAGATTAATAAAAGGACTAAACCGAAAAGAAAATGAATGCATAAATGAATGAATGAATGAATGTGTATGGATGTTTCCCAGTGATGGGTTGCAGCAGTAAGGGCAGCCGCTATGTGAAACATATGCTGGATAAGTTGCTGGTTCACGCTGTGGGGACCCTAGATTAATAAAGGGACTAAGCCGATAAGAAAATGAATGAATGAATGAAATTTGCCGTAGTGTATGAGTGTGTGTGAGTGTGAATGCAAGATTGTATGGGTGTTTCCCAGTACTGGGTTGCGGCTGGAAGGACATCCACTGCATAAAACATATGCTGGAATAGTTGGCGGTTCATTCCGGTGTGGTGACCATTGATAAATAAGGTTCTAAGCCGAAGGAAAATGAACAAATTAATGATTTAATTCTCAAGTTCAATTGGCTGACTCTGAGCGACTGTTATAAGGTCATTGATCATGATGTTTATCAGAGACTCAAGCACGTCATGATTTTGTCAAGTACAGTGCGTTCCCGGATTAACATCTATGTTGATCCTGGAACATCATTTTTGTTTGAAAATGTAATCCATACCTATTCTCTACCCCTAAACCCAACCATAAATGTAAATTATTCCCAAAATGAGAGGGGAATAACAGTTCGATAACAATCATGTAGACGTGCTTAAACATAACTGTAAGCCTAAACTTAACATAAACAGTAAATGTATCCCTTAATTCTGATTGGCTGATTGGACTGTTGTTCCAGGATCAACATAGAAGTTAATTCAAAACATGTCCTACTTGGTGAAATCAGGTTGACGAGTCTCAATGCCTTACTTTACATTTGTTCATCAAACAGATGACTCAAGAATACCTGTAAAGTTATTAACAAGTCTAATGGAAAATTCTCCAGACATTTAGTGTTGCTTTTTATTATGAATTCGCCTAATGAATTCAGCAAAGGTATTCAAGTGAAAGTAGCATTTATAGCATCTTTAGTTTAGTCTCTTATCTCGTCTCTTGACAGGAGAAGCACAGAAGTTTACTCTCAAGTTTAAGAGGGCAGAGGATTATCCTATCGATCTGTACTTCCTGATGGACCTCAGTCACTCTATGGTGAGCAATCTGGAAAATGTTAAAAAGCTGGGAACCGAACTCGCCAATGAGATGAAGGACATCACGAAAGACCTGCATATAGGTCAGGAGGACACAAATGCTTACATCCACACCTTCGTATGCTTTTAAAGCTGTTAAATGATCCAATAACTTGTTTGCAGGTTTTGGTTCATTCTTGGAGAAGCTGGTTATGCCTTACATTCTGATGACGCCAAAGTATCTGAAAAACCCCTGTTTTCCAAGCGACTGCACTGCGCCCTTCAGCTACAAAAACGTCCTGAGCTTGACAGACAATCATGGATTGTTTACCCAAGAAGTCAGCAAGCAGAAAACCTCTGGAAACCTGGACGCTCCGGAGGCCGGATTTGATGCAATCATGCAGGCTGCTGTCTGCACGGTGGGTCGAGCTGAACATTCCTCAGATGCCAGAGAACTACGGGCAAAGTCAATACATGTTTGCACATGCCGTTTTATGCTTGCCTGTGAATGGCCTGAGATTTGTTCCAGTAAAGTCATTTTTTCTCATGTAAAATGCTTACACTTTTTTAAGTTGAATGCAAATCTCTAGATAGTATATAAAAGAAATCACCTCAACATCATCTTTATATGCTGTTTTAACAGTAACCTGAGGGTTCTGATTTAACTATCAAAACTATTTGTGTAGTCAACATGTATATGCCAAATCAGAAACACACTTATTATTGGGTTACATGGATACTCACCCTTAGGTCCTAGGAAACAGTAAGCATGAGTTTAGCTACAGCAAAAAAAAAAAAAAAAAACCCTGCCCATATGAAGCTGTGTACTCTGTTTTGATTGTATCTCAGGACGTGATTGGCTGGAGGAATGTCACTCGTCTCCTTGTGTTTTCCACGGATGCTGGATTTCATTTGGCTGGAGATGGAAAGCTTGGTGGCATCGTTCGTCCTAATGATGGGAAATGCCATCTTGACAATAATATGTACACCATGAGCAACTACTTTGTAAGTATAAAATTGATATGGATGGATGGATGGATGGATGGATGGATAGAGATGGTGTGCCATGAAAATATATCACCCACACCATAACCCCACCAGCAATGTGTAACTTGTGAAAAATGTGTAACTTGTGAAAAAGAGAACGATGGATCCATGCTTTTATGTTGTTTATGGCAGTTTCTCAATACCATCCCAACGTTGCATACACCAAGGCTTGTTATACAATGCACCCTTTGTTTAGTAAGTCTGTGCGAATAATAGACTCTCCTGTTGTGGTACCAGGTGTGAGCTTCTGATACTGTAGCTCATCTTCTTCAAGGTTCATTATGAAAACTCAATTGCAGACCTTGGTTATTTGAGGTGAAGCTGGGCGATATGGCAAAAATGCAATCTCGATGATTTTCCATATTGAACGATAACAATATACATTTCGATATCAGCTGTTAATGCTTTCAGATTTAAGAGTAGCCCAACAATGACTGAAGCCACAAAAATGAGAGGGTCCTTTAAATAGCTTTACCTATTTTGGGTGGCCAATAATTTTGGCTACTGAAAATTAGGTGCATCTCTAATATCAACACACTTTTAGTTTCCAATTGTTGCACTTTTCTGCTGTGGGATTGGCTCTTAGATCATTATAGAGTAAAAAAGTCCAGAGAACATTGTTATCGACACATTTTATCGCGATTTGATATCATATCATTTATTGGCTCAGCCCTAACTTGAGGTTATTTGATTATTATAACTGTAGACTTTCTATCAGCTCAAACCAGTCTGGCCATTATATTTTACTTTTAGCATCACCAAAGCATTTCGCCATTTACTGTAAGCCCTAGAAATGGTTGCATGTAAAAATCCCAGGGGATCCCAGACAAGGCAAGGCCATCTTATATATATATAAAAGAGACATAATGGTGTGATCTGTCAGATGTAGCACATTGCTTATTCAGTATAGGCACAGCTAAACAGATGTGTTTTCAGTCTCGATTTGAAAGTGTCTAATGTTGGAGCACATCTGATCATTTCTGGAAGCTGATTCCAGCAGTGGGGGGCATAGTAGCTGAAAGCCGATTCACCCTGCTTTGACTGAACTGAAAAAAAACTGAAACTGAACTGAAAATTTCTTATTTATTTGATCCCAAAGATCTAAGTGATCTGTTAGGTTTGTGTTCAGTGTGCATATCTGTAATTTATTAAGGTCCTAGGCCATTTAGTGATTTATAGACAGGTGTGATGTGCTATGATTTTCTGGCTCTGATCAGAATCCTGGCCGCAGCGTTTTAGATGTGCTGCAACTGTCTGACTGTCTTTTTTGGAAGGCCAGTGAGGAAGTGGTTTAAGTAATCCACCCTGCTGGTGATAAAAGCATGAACAAGATCAGCAGTTTTTGAAATACTCAGACTAAACTGCCATGTCAGTTTATCTAAATCACTTTGTTCCCCATTGTGAGGCTCAGTTTGAACTTCACTAGATCATGTTAATCATGTCTACAAGCCTAAATGCAGTGAGTCGCCGCCATGTTTATTGGCTGATTAGATATGTGCAATAATGAGCAGCTGATCTTTATAAGGTGACCGGTGACTGTAAATCAGAGTGTTCTTACATTCTTTTCTTTTTTCTTTTTGTTAAAAGGACTACCCCACCATCTCTCAGCTGGTAGACACACTGAGTGGCAACAATATTCAGACTATCTTTGCTGTGACTGAAGAAATCCGGGAGATTTATCAGGTCTGTACATCACAATCATATATTAAATCTTTGTTATACTTAAACTCAACCACATTTATTGAGGTGACGCCAGGATGAAGTTGAAAGTAGATGGCCTTATCCACCATATTTTCCATCTAAGAATTGGAATGGCAATTTGTGGCAGGGGCATACTCGCGTCAAGCTCCCTAAACTGTTCTGAAATGCAGTTATGCAGAGCAGTATTATACCTATATAATATTAAACAACTAAATATCATTCCTTCTGTTATTTTCTTTTTCTGAACTGACATTTTGAAAATCTTGCAAAATGACACAATGAACTGTATTGGTCTGAATGGTCAATTGTCGTTGATTATAAGTCAGAAATTACCATAAAAAGAGAATTTAAAGTTAATTGTTTAATTGCAACTTAATTGTTTTATGTTCAATCAACTTAAATTTATTAAAACAAAGTAAATTATGTTATTTGCTAGTTTCAGCTCGCTGCAAGTGTCATTTTAATGTTTTGCACCACGCTGTTTAAATAGCAAATGCATTTGCTCTCATGGTGAAAGTAAAGGTCGATTGGAGGAGGCTCATCTCTCATTCTCGCACTGCAGATGGTCTGTTTGACTGTTTTCTCGCTAGTGAAGCGTTCAGTTTTTACACTTACAAAGTCCGCCATGTAAATAGCAAATGCTACGCAAACGCAACTGACTCTTAAAGAGAATGAGAAATGAGACTCTGATTGGTTTATTCTCAAAACACACCCAGAACCTATTAAGAGAATAAGGTCAACACTTAGACCATGCACCGTGGCGCAGAGCGTATTTTTCCGTCACTAAAATAGCAAAAGTGGATTCAGATGCGCCCTTAATGCTTTTGTGCCCTGCACTTCAGACTTTGTGTGTAGATCGTTAAAATAGAGCTCCTGAACATGATTACGATTAATGAACGATTGTTTATTGAAAATCAACATTAAATAACTAACATTAAAACACGCATTGTCTAAAACAAACAGTCACCTTTTTCTAAGCATATATTTGTGTGGATGCAATAAGTTTTGTGCACAGACAGAGGATATCGAAACCAGCCGAATTCGAGCACAGATAAACACTGTAAGAGTTCACAAGACTGATTTCTCATGAAATTGGTCTTACTTCATACATATAGCCTAAAAATAAAGTCAAATTAGATGCAAAGTTTGACCTAAAGTATGCTGAAATAGCTAATCAGGTTACAATATACTAAATAGCCTATCCCACAAACCAATGAAAACATACATACATTTTATTAATAAATAGGATATAATTGAAATAAATAGGTGAAGCAGTGGCGCAGTAGGTAGTGCTGTTGCCTCACAGCAAGAAAGTTGGATCGCTGGTTCGATCCTCGGCTCAGTTGGCGGTTCTATGTGGAGTTTGCATGTTCTCCCTGCGTTCGCGTGGGTTTCCTCCGGGTGCGCTGGTTTCCCCCAGAGTCCAAAGACATGTGGCACAGGTGAATTGGGTAGGCTAAATTGTCTGTAGTATGAGTGTGTGTGAATGAGTGTTTGTTGATGTTTCCCAGAGATGGGTTGCGACTGGAAGGCTATCCACTGCGTAAAAACGTGCTGGGCAAGTTGGCGGCTCATTCCGCTGTGGCGACCCCAGATTAATAAAGGGACTAAGCCAACAAGAAAATGAATGAATAATTGAAATAAATACACATATTTTTTTCACTGAAGCATGTATTACACAAGCTAACATTTCGAAAACGTTGACCCCATCAATCGTCAATGTATAATTCGCACACTGACTTCACTCATGACATTTCTCATTAAAATAACGTCACAGAGATCAGATCTGGCTGCAAAGTGCTGAACATTTTTGAGTTCAGCGGGGTGACATGTGCTTCAGTGGGGAAAGTAATAAATAAAATCGACCTGGAAAAATTCGATTTATTACAGATTCTGAATGCCGATTTCGAATAATCATCCGTCCCTAAATTAAAGTTTCAGCTTTGGTACAGTTTACTGTAGTATAAATGTCACTGTTGAAGTTCAGTTCATGTCAGATCTGTGTAATGCTGAAGGCACTGATCGCCTGAAGAGCAACTCTACAGAGCAACAATATTTAGTATTCTACTATAGTATTGTTATTTGATGAAACCTCAGTCATTGTGGTTAAGCTGTTGCATTTTCTACTTCTACTAACTTCTTATAATACAAGCCTCAGGTTTAACTCCTAGGTAGTAGTCTGTATTGACTCCTAGAGCAAATGAATGTGTGTGTGCAACAGGAGCTGTCTGCCCTTATCCCAAAATCAGCTGTGGGGATACTGTCTACCAGCTCTTCCAATGTCATCAAGCTCATCATCGATGCTTATAATGTGAGTTAAAGTTATGTATCAGATGTCTCTGTCTAAAAGTAATGCTTCTCTGTGGTCAGCTCTAGTTTCCTTCTGTGTCTGACGGAAAAGAAACTGAAACCACAGTTTCTCTTTTTTTGCTTACAGTATATTTTACTTTACAGGCAGTTCCCACGCATAGGGGTTGTTTATAATCTTAAATATTCACTCAGACATTTTAATGATCAGAAATGGGTAAGAGGCTTATTGCTCAGCTGGATTAACAATTCTGTGACTAGTCATAAATTTAAAGGGACAGTTTTCACAACAACAACAACAACAAAAAACATAATTTACTCATTCCTCTGTATTTCAAAATATCTTTTCCATCATACAGAATAAAGTAATAGTAATACTGGCTTTAGAACAACATGATGGCATCAAAGAAATTATTACTATGCCTTTAAATGTTGCATTTGAATGAACTCTTGATATTTGCCCAGCACTAATATGCTCTTTGTGTTTAATTCCGTGCATTAGTCTCTGTCCTCTGAGGTGATTCTGGAGAACAGCAAGCTACCTGATGGTGTGTCCATCTCTTACGTCTCCCACTGCAAGAACGGAGTGAGTGGAACAGGAGATAATGGGAGAAAGTGCTCCAACATCTCCATTGGGGACGAGGTGAGAGAGGGAACTTGTCTGTGCTTGTTGAGTGACTCCATTTATGTAACTGCAGCTTAAGCTTAACCCACAAGACAGAAGCTAGTCACGTTTGTTTCTCCTGTAAGATTGCACAGTTCAAGCGCATGCCTATTTATCAGTGCTCTTCTTGTTTAAATAGTTCCCATTAAAACTATCGCAGATGCTGAGATGAATTTCATCGTATTGAGTATAGCTGAGAGCTTTAATTTTGACAAGCAGAAGAGCAACACTCAATTAAACGGAAAGAAAAATATGTGTAATTAAATGACTTCCAACCTGCTTTCTATGTTATACACTTTTTAAAATATGGTAAGACAACATCTACTGTGGCGACGCAGTGTTCAAGCTTCGGCTGGGTCAGTTGGCGTTTCTGTGTTGAGTTTGGATGTACATGCGGTACAGGTGAATTGGGTAGGCTAAATTGTCCATAGTGTATGAATGTGCGTGTGTGTGGATGTTTCCCAGAAATGGGTTGCAGCTGGAAGAACATCCGCTGCATAAAAACATGCTGGATAAGTTGGCGGTTCATTCTGCTGTGGCGACCCCGGATTAATAAAGGGACTAAGCCGTAAAGAAAATGAATGAATGAATGATCTTCTGCACTGATTTAGTGCATTTAAACTGACAGTGTCTTTTGTGTAACTTGCAGGTTTTTAGATGAAATACTAAACCAGCACATTGTGAAAATGCAGTTTTGGTATTAACTGGCAGCTTTGATTGACAGAAATGCGCTGTAAAAAAAATTTAAATAGTATGATTCGGCATATTTCTGTCTGTGTATTTTGAAACTTACAATCTGCCAAAAACGTAGAGCAAAAAAAAACTTGGAAAAATCTAAAGTTTGAAGTTACTACTATATCTTACTTAAAGTCTACACTACCTGACAAAAGTCTTGTTGTCAATCCCAGTTGTAAGAGGAACAAACAATAACTTGACTTCTAGTTGATTATTTGGAAAAGTGGCAGAAGGTAGATTTTTCTGAAGAATCATCTGTTGTGCTGCATCCCAATCATCATAATACTGCAGAAGACCTAATGGAACCTGCATTGACTCAAGACTCTCACAGAAATCAGTCAAGTTTGGTAAAGGAAAAATCATGGTTTGGGGTTACATTCCGTATGGGGACGTGTGAGAAATCTGCAGAGTGGACTGCAACATCAACAGCCTAGAGAGATATCAAGACATTTGTGCTGCCCATTACAGTACAAACTACAGTAGAGGGCAAATTCTTCATCAGGATAGCACTCCTTCTCATACTTCAGCCTCCACATCAAAGTTCCTGAAAGCAAAGAAGGTCAAGGTGCTCCAGGATTGGCCAGCCCAGTCACCAAATATGAACATTATTGAGCATGTCTGGGGTAAGATAAAGAAGGAGGCATTGAAGATGAGTCCAAGGACTCTTGATAAACTCTTGGAGTCCTGCAAGAACGCTTTCTTTGCCATTCCAGATGACTTTATTAATCAGTTATTAGAGTCATTGCAGAGATGTATGGATGCAGTCCTCCAAGCTTATGGGAGTCATACACAATATTAATTCTTTTTCCACTGTAGCATGACTTTATATTCTATACTGAACATTATTTCTGTTAAGTGACAAGACTTTTGATCATGTTTTATGCTAGACATACAGAATAAAGGGCATGCTAGACTTCACCGGTAAGGCTAAATGGAATGCCTGGGATGCCAAGAAAGGAACTAGTAAGGAGGATGCTGTGAAAGCGTACATCGCTAAAGTCGAGGAGCTGAAGGGGAAATACGGCATCTAACAGACACCCATATGATGGCCAGCATGCTTTTACCTGTACTGTTCTCCCAATAACGCCTTAAGGCCTGCAGTGTCGCTCACACAAGACTGTAATCGGTGTGTGAGAAAACTGGCACTGACCAAGAGAAAACCGTCCACAATGTAGTGAAAAGAATAAATACTTTTGTATGCGCTGCCATAATATTCACCTTTACAATAAACATGTGTTTACTTCTCTCCTGTTAACACTGAAGAAAGAAAAACATGTTGTGTTGCCCTTAAGAAATTTTGTATTTGTATCTGAGACCCTTGTTTTTGGTAAAATAAGTGTAATCTAGAGGCCTTTGTCTTTCATATTAGCCACTTCTGACACCAAATGATCAACTAGAAGTCAAGTTATTATTTGTTGTTCCTAAAACTTGGAAAGACTTTTATCAGGTAGTGTATTTACATGGAAAAAAATCTGATGTGTTATTATAGATCATATTAAATGGCACTGAAATAATAATAAAAAAAAAAACAATTAAAACATTTTTCTAGTACAATACTAAATACTGGTAAAATTACTAATATTTGAATTGATTTTGTTTAAAACATATAATCCTATTTAATCCTATAAACTTTTTGTCCCGTTTCTCATATTGTACTATATGTGGATTGAAGCTATTACTTTATAACCATTATATTTACTACAGTATGTGTTAAGAACTTTCTATTGTAATATATTATAGCTATACTTGTGAGAATGACATTGTTTTTATAGTGCACCTCTGTTTTAGTGAATGTAATGTGCAGAAGTTTTTGGTTGTGGTTTTATAATATGCAATGAGGCATTAGCATTTTATTTTATTTCCAATATTTTTCTTGCATTTTTTCCAGATATTATACAAACTTACAAATGTATATGAAAAATAGAAGTCCTATCAGCAAAGAGATGACATGAAATACATAGCAATAAAAACAAGAAATCTGTAGAACTCTTAAAACAAACTTACACTTTTCTACCCCCTTCTATGCACCATCCCTCCCATCTCCCACCCCTCCCTATTTCCTGAGGCCTTCAATAAGTATGTAACGGTGAATCAAGACGCTGATAAATAAATAAGACATTTAAAAATTATAAATAAAATAAATAAAAATAAGTATATGGGTAAATACAGAGGATGAAAATGTAAAATAAAAACTAGAAGTCTCTCTTTCTCCCTTTCGAAATTCTAGTCAGCAGTTCCTGAAATGTTAAGGTTCTCAATGACTGATAGTATGGGACTCCATGTTTTGTTAAAGGAGTTCAGTGATCCTTTAAAACAATGTCTCAGTTTCTCAAGATAGATGCAATTAAGAACCTCTTTAATCCAGTGTTCTGATGATGGAGGGGACACATGTTTCCATTTGAGGAGAATTGCGCACCTGGCGAGCAAAGTGGTAAAGGCAATGACGCAGCGTGATGTTTGTGTAGTTGGGGTTGGAAGATAACCAAAAAGGGCAGTCAGAGGGTCAGGAGTGATGATTATATTAAGAGCTTGAGAAAGAATTTAAAAAATATTAGACCAATAGGTTGTTAATTTTGAACATGACCAAAACATGTGAAGGTAATCGGCCGGTGACTGCTTACATCTGTTACAGGCATCACTTCTGTCTGGAAATATTCTAGAAATTTTGGCATTAGTGAAATTGGTCCTATGAAGTACTTTACATTGTAGTAGGCCGTGTCTGGCACAAATAGATGAAGAGTGAAGTAAACTAAGAATGTCTTTCCATTGGTCCTCAGAAATGCATTAGCATTTTATGAAGTGTCACAAATATAAACCCCTTCTCCATGTACACGATGCACATAAATTATATGCAACTGTAAACACTGTGTTATCATTATATGTGCCTCACAGGTGTTGTTTGATATAGAAATCACGGCTAAAGGCTGTCCGTCTAAAGGTAAACCAGAGACCATAAAGATCAAGCCGCTGGGGTTCAGCGAGGAGGTGGAGATCCTCCTCAACTACATCTGTGAATGTGAGTGTCACAAAGACGGGATCAAAAATAGTCCCAAGTGTAGCGGAGGACAGGGAACGCTGGAGTGTGGAGTCTGCAGGTCTGAGAAGCTGTCAGTCTCTCTCCTACATAAATGAAGACATGACAAACTTTCTGATTGACTGTTTTCTCTCTCATATCAGGTGTAATGAAGGTCGATTAGGCAGATTATGTGAGTGTAGCCATGATGAGGTGCTGGCGGATGATCTGGATGCAAACTGCCGTATGAATAATGGCACAGAAGTCTGCAGCAACAATGGAGAATGTGTCTGTGGAACCTGTGAATGTAAGAAAAGAGACAACCCAGAGGAGAGATACAGCGGAGAGTTCTGCGAGTGCGACAACTTCAGCTGCGACCGCTCAAACAACAAGCTCTGTGGAGGTAGGGCTCGTTGGGCGATTAATGCTGGTCTGGGATAGGTGAATATAAGAAAATTTTACTTGTTGGATAAGTTACCTAAATAATCAACCTTGTGGTGCACCTTAAATTTTTTTTTATTAAATAAAGACACTTAAGTTGATTTGGCTACATTTAAAACAGCACAATTTTAGTTTAAAGCTAGGAATAAACTACTTTCAAAATGCATACAAAAGTTTTTTGAGAAAAGACAAGGGGGATATAATCTGAGAAAAGAACAACATTTTAGGAGGTTAAAAAAAACAAGGACAACTTTAAAAAGTTTGTGTATGTCTGTCTGTGGTGTAAAACTATAGAACAGTCTAGTCAGACTCTCGAACAATGTCAGGATATTAATCAATTTAAAAAGTTGTATAAATATATATTATTAAAGGAATATAATGATGAAGGTAATTAAAAAAAGGATAAAAAGAGAAAGTTATGATGACATTTTAATTCATGGCTATTTGCAGTACTGTGTTTTTTTTTCTCTGGGTCTATGTTACAAAATGTAAAGGTACAAATGGAATCAAATATAATTTGTCAAAGATGCCAAAATGATGAAATATGTTTCATGTAAAAAGAAGAGATAAGTAAAAGAAGAAATAAGTTGAAGTAATAGACGATTGATGAATGTGTTGATGGAGTGGTGAAATAATAAGCTTGTGCTTCATCCCACTTGATTTTGGAACATGTTGAAATTTATTTTTTGTAAATAATATTTTATGTATGATATTTTTATTCGGAAATAAATCAAATCAAATTTGAGCTAGAATTATTCAGATTATTAGTGAATGCTCAGTTCTAATTCATATTGAATTTGGTTCTGTATTCTGTCACATACACAGTATGATATGCAGTGAAATGCTTACACAACCGCTCAAAACCTTAAAAATAACAATACCAAAAATAACAATAAACAACAGTAATAATCTAAAGTTTGGCAAATAGAAGTTATGCAATAGAAAATAAAATCAGATAAAACTATTTAAAGACTTTCAAATTTATGGAACAAAATCAATGCCAAAAGTATTGAAATAAAAAGCTTGTCGAATAGCACTAACCAAAAAAAAATAATACATTGAATTAACAACTGCTTGCATTTTAATGACTTGAATTGCCAGAGTTTGTAATTTTAGGTCCTGAAATTTAACATATCCGTTTTATATCTTAAGCTGAGGATATTTCGATTCTACACATTTTCATACATAATTTCAATATTTCATATTCAACTTCCAGATTTCACTTCCAAAATATTCAGTTTAAATGTTTAAAAATATGAAGTATAATATTCAAAAGGCAAATTTCTGTTCATTTTATTTCAGTTCAAAAATTCGCTTCCATAAATTCAGTGGCTAAAATTCAACTGTTAAAATTTGACATAACATCTGGGAGCTGCAGGAAAAGCAATATATTGCAGATAGCAGTTTCGATAGATTGCATATAAAAAAATTTTGATAATTTTATAAAAAGTATACTAATTTTTTAATAAAAATTGTATAATTAATACAGAACTTAACAGGGAGGCAGTGTAAGGAGGATAAAATTGGGGTGATATAATCATATTTTGTAGGCCTGGTAAGAACTCTGGCAACTGCATTTAATACCAGCTGAAGTTTCTTAATAGAGGATGTTGGGCAACCAGAGAACAGAGCATTACAGTAATCCAGCCTAGAAGTCGTAAAGGCATGAACTAGCTTTTCTGCATGGATAGCATATTTCGTAACTCAGCAATATTTCTCAGATGAAAAAAGACGGTTATTGTGACATGGGATATATGATTGTCAAAAGTTAAATTGCTGTCTAATATAACACCCAGATCTTTTACAGTAGAGCTAATACTAACTTTACTAATACTAAATGTTTGTCAATGTATAGTGCTGTGGCAAAGTGTAATTCAAGATTGATTTAAGGTTTTCAAAATGTATTGCTATTCTTTCTTGAATCTAAATGGAGCGTAGTTTTAACACCAGATGGTGCTCTTGGCTAGTTTTTAATCGTACATTCAAAAGATCGCTATGAAGAGCCCTTGTATGTTTGGCTGAGCGATAATTTTTTTAATGTTACAAGATTAATGTAAACAGCTCACAAAGAACACTCTTGTAATTAGCTTGAAACTTTTCTAACTTTATTAATGATCAATTTAACTTTGAGTGGTATGTGTAAGGAATTGGATGAAAGCAAAGTATGACTGTTTTTGAAGGACACATTGCCATCTACTGTTAAAAACTAGATTTAAGTATCTTTAGATTTACCAGAACAAACAGATTAAGTAAAAAAAAAAAAACTTTAGTAGTGAATGAAGTGTCCTTTTCTCCACAGGTCATGGCCGATGCGAATGTAAGAAGTGTATCTGTGATGCTAACTACACCGGCAGTGCTTGTGACTGCCCTCTCGACACCGCAACTTGTCTGGCCAGTACCAATGAGATCTGCAATGGTCGTGGCAAATGCGAATGTGGCGTGTGTAAATGTGATGAGAATTATGAGGGTCCGACTTGTGAAATCTGCCCAACCTGCCCAAGAATTTGCACCGAACGCAAGTGAGTTTCTGGCAGATCCTTTACTAATGAGGTTAGGCTAACACGGCTAACCCAGTTTTGCATCTGAGAACTTTTTTTTCTCCTACTTTGGGCTGTTTCAAAGCTATGTGTCAAATTAATGAATCAATTAAATCTTAGCTAACAGTCCTAAATAAATTCCTCTGTGTTTTGCCTCAAAGGGATTGTGTGGAGTGCAGACATTTTGGTACAGGCAGCAAGCAAAAGACATGTGAGGAGGACTGCAAATCTTACAGCATAAAGAAGGTGAAGACTAAGGAGGATCTTCCTCCGCCTAACATTAATCACTGCAAAGAGCGAGATGTTGATGACTGCTGGATCTTTTTTACTTCTTCTATCGAGAAAGATGGCAGCATTCAGGTCTATGTGGCTGAAAACAGGGGTAAATAAACAAGGGACATTAGCAATTAGCAAACAATCCTACATTTTGTCTTGTTTGATTTCTTTCAGTCAGACATATTAGTTTGAAATTATTCTTTGTTTCTGTGTTGACAGAGTGTCCCTCTGGCCCTGACATCATCCCCATTGTAGCAGGTGTGGTTGCAGGAATCGTACTGATTGGCTTAGCCCTTCTGCTCATCTGGAAGCTGCTCATGGTAATTCATGACCGCAGAGAGTTTGACAAATTTGAGAAAGAGAAAAATAATGCCAAGTGGGATACGGTATGTGTCTTTATTAATATATATTTTTGTATAATACAAAAGTTATATTAATTTGGTGGGTTCGTCTTATAGGAGCAATACTGGGATAACAATGTATTTTTTTCTGTTTAGGGCGAGAACCCCATCTACAAGAGCGCTGTAACAACTGTGGTGAATCCCAGATATGAGGGAAAGTGATGGGTCTTCAGGATAACTAACGGGAATTGTTCGCAACAAATACGAGTAGGGTCTGTCAAAACGAGCGTAACATGAAGGGGGTGTAGTAGAGGCATAACTTGAAGTTACAGTATCAAGACCCACATGTCAAAACTATGTTGTCAGGAAAATGGCACTGAACCCATCAAAATTATTAATGTCTACACCTTCCCCAACTCTAAACCCAACCGTCACAGTTATTAACACTTACACCTTTCCCAACTCTAAACACAACCATCACAGTTATTAATGCTTACACCTTCCCCAACCCTAAACCCAATTGTCACAGATATTAACAACTACACCTTCCCCAATCTTAAACCCAACCGTCACAATTTTTAACGTCTACTCCTTCCCCAACCATCACAGTTATTAACGTCTAGACCTTCCTTAACCCTAAACACAACAATCACCGTTATTGACGTCTACACATGCTCCACTATGCACGTACAGCTGTAAGTTGCGTAGGCTTTTATACATGACATGCTCAGTATTGTACTCTTAATTGCAACCGCAAGGGGCGACGCTGAGTTGGCTAACTTTCATGACAAAACAAACAAAGAAGTCAGCGAGTGGAGTTGCAAAATGAATTAATATAATAATGTAATTTGGAGAAAATGCATGAAAACATTTGCTGAAAATGTTCTCTGGGAAGTATTTTCAACATCTTGCCAACAACATCTTGTTGTGACATCTTGCATAGTTCAATGGGATCTGGATAACTGGAAGTTACGCCTCTACTACAAGTTATGCCCCTGTCATGTTACACTACTGTCTTGCAGTGCGTAGACAGATACACTTGACAAATAGAGCACCACAAACTGTATTTAAAGGCATAGTTCACACAAAAAATTTAAATTGTCATCATTTACCCACTTATGACCAACTAGTTTTGGGCTACATTTACATGACAGTAGCTACGTTTCCATCCACCTATTGTTATGCTCATTTCAGATACGCGCATAAAAAAATCAGTTGATGGAAATGCCAAGATGCACATAAATTTTGAAAATGCGCATAAAAAACGCATGCGCATAACTGAGTAGGATAAACTTTTATTTGATAAGAAAAGATGCGCATAAACTACGATGGAAACAATTTTACCGAACAAATTCCAGTATGTGCATTAAAACAGTCATGTGATTATTGTTATAAGAGATCATGTGATGATAAAAATGTGTTTAAATGGACAAATCAGCAGGCTTCAAACGCCATCACGTGTTCATTGCGTGTCGACATCGTCTTCTAAGGCGCAAGTCATTTATTAAATAAAGAAAAGATTCACGCAGCTTCTCCTGCCTCAGCAAATGTCGTTTTTACTGTTGATATTTGCTGCCAGTTAATCAGGAAGTGACAATTTTGTTCTCTTTGACGCATTGGATGGAAACGCTGCTTCATTCGCACGTCTTTTATGCAATATTCCAATTTTGCGCATAAAGTTAGTTTGCATTTTTGAATGGAAACATAGCTAGTGATCTAGCCAAAACCTGATAAGTTTTTCTCTTATCTTTTAAAAAGCTTCCTCGAACGCAGCCAAAAACACTGTATTCTGTGCTGTTGGTAGCGCTGCGCTAATTTGTATGTAGAATTTGTTGTATGTGCGAGATGCGTCACTGCTGTTGGTTGTAATGCACTCTCAGAAAAAAAGGTACACAGTGGTACAAATAATGTTCCTTGAGGGCCAGTTTTGTACCTTTGTAAAAGTTGTACCTTATAATAAGTGTTGGACAACTCCTTCTTTATTACAATATCTATGAAAATAAATATTACTGGAAAGGCAAAGTGATTTATGAATAATTTCCATATTAAAACATGAATCATCATTTAAAAGCATATGTTTAAAGAAACTCATAAACAATAATTATTAAGGTCTTTAATGCAATAATACAAAACAACTGGTAAAACATTTGTATCTTTGATGAAGGTACATTTTGGTTTCCCATGGTATAAATCATGTTCTTAAAGGTACAAACTGCAATGGTACAAATTTGTTTCTTTGTCTTAAGGTACAATTCTGTTCCATAAAACGGTACTGCCCCAGTGACAAGGGTTTGTACCTTCTTTGGTACAACATTGTACCATTTTTTTCTGAGAGTGTGTGAAGTAAATCCACACTTTGCTTATAAAGATATAGCAGCAACACTACCGCATACTTTGTTATTCTTTTACACCTCCCTCAACAAATATGTCATGATTGTTGTTACAACTGCCTCAGTGTGTGTGTTTGGAGCTTTGTAGATTTGCAATTTCCATTTTTATCATAAAATACATCCCCATTTGCTAGTATCTGTCTTTCCTACTGAGGGTGAACGAACCCTTAATACATTTACAAATAAATCTACTCCAAATGTTTTGTCTCTCGAGCATCCGCTTCTAGCTTTAGCCTGCTAGCATCACTAGCCAGCTAAAGCTACCGGCTTCTTTTACTTACTGTTTCACTTAATGTATTCGCTCTTCACTCTGTACGTTGTCACTTGTGTGCCTATCCTTGTGTTTATCCTTCCCAAAGCCTTACGTTTTCTGGTTATTACATGGATATGACAATAGCAGTGTTTTCAAAAATTTTATCCAATTTTTTGATTCATGCATTTTCACTCCTAAAATTGCTGCTGTGTAAAAGAACAGACAAAACACACTAAAAAAATGTTCTGTTTATAAGCAAAAACATTGTGTAAATGACCCCTTAGCTTCTTTCATATGTTGAACAGACTAGAAGATATACTGAGGAATGTTTTAAACTGGTAACCATTGACATAGCATTTATTTTTTTGTACTATGGATGTCAATGGTTACAGTTTTTGAACATTCTTCAAAATATCAGATTTTGTATTCAACAAATTATGACAGATCTTTGATTTTTGGGTTAACTATCCCTTTAATATAGTTTAAGGTTAGACCAAAATGATCACTCAGATGTCAACAATTGTATCCTGCATTTTAATATTACAGAAAGCTACTTATTTAGCATTTTACCATCTGTTTTAGCAGAAATCTCCCCACTCATGTCTGCTACCCAAGAAAAATTATTTTTGGGTCACAATCTACCAGATCTCATTCAAAAGCTGGTTTCCCATTGCTTAATTATCATTTTCTGTTTTGACCCAAAAATAAATTTATTCATTCATTTTCCTTCAGCTTTTATTTTTTTTAGCGGTCGCCACAGAGGAATCAACCGCCCTGTTTTCTAATGTTTATATGTAAATATTAAACTCTCCTGTGAAATTATGGTATTCTCGAGCCAGAGCACAAGAAGACACAACATGGTTCACCGATGATTATTATTTTTAAATACTTTTGGTAAAGCCAATAAAACAGTGTGGGGTTTAACCAGACAGTGTGGGTGAGTTCTTTCTTATGTGAAACTCAATGGTTGTATTTGGTGAAAGCACTCATAATCTTTTCATAGTATTTCATTATATCTCTAAGTTATTTCAGACTGATGATGAAAATAACTTATAAAATAGTGTGTATAGACCATTTTGAGGGATTTAAACAAAAGCAATGGTCCCAGCATTCCTGTTTTATATTTCTAAAGCTTCCGAGAATCCACAAAGAGCCACATATTGATAAATAACGCTATGATAGCTGTTTTAACAGTAAGTTATGATTGAATTGCCTCTTTTTTACAGTTATGAAATGGTTTGATAACAAGCAGGAAATGTTCATGGGCCAATGACATGACCACATTGAAATCCTATAGCATCATTTAGGGCACAACTGTGTCCTAATAGAGAAAGCTAACAAAGTAAATGTTGGGTAAGGCAGATTTTATAGACCAACATGTCTTTATATTTACCCCAAAACAACTGCTATTGCATTTTTTTTTCTATTTTGACATTGACAATATCATAACTCCTTTCACAAACGATGTAGTATTTCAAAATATGTATAGTTTATTGTCGCACGCAAACAAAAAAAAGTGTCGTAAAGACAATAGAAGGGGTTAAGTGTATTTTTGCAGTAATTAGTTCTGCCACAGCATCTCTTCATGCTGCCACTTAGATCATATGCCTGAAGCTTCCCACAGGTGATTGGTGCCACTCACTGACCAATCAGGCGGCGTCTCGCTGCCATTGCAAAGTTATTAACCCTGTGGCAGTCTCGTACTCTCCCTGGGGTCTGCTTACAGCCTTAATCTGACGCAAATAACTCCTTCATTTCCCCGCCGGATCTGTCCTAACGGGGTTGCGTTGTCTTCATTTAACCGAGAAGATCCTCTAATCGCTGTGTCGAAGGAAAAGCAAAGGCGAGAGAGCGAGAAAGAGAGACAGTATGTCTGACGACTGTGCCGTTTGTTTGCCAAACACCACCTTGATGCGTTCCACAGTTACGCCGTCTAAAACAGTTGAAATGTGGCAAATTCAGGGCAGACCCGCGAAGACCTCTGGATCTACTGCTGGTAAGTCTCGACTATCTGTCTACGTCCCGTTTAAAGTAGATTGATCGATTATTGTCGTTTCGATAACATAAAGGGGCTGCTGAATGAGCGAGTCCAACTGTGAACTTGGCAGGCGAGCGTCAGCATATTCCAAACATCATTATGTGACATCAGTCCGGCAGCTGAACTAAATGAGGTCTGCCTCGATAACCGCATACTTTGATAAAAATGTCTGAATATTAAAATCGCTCGCGAGGTATTTGGGGGTTGAAACAAAGCCGAAGGTGCACTTTTTCGCGCAGGTTAAATATCTGCAGAAGGCTTTGACTGCGGATGGCCGCATCATCTTCGCGTATTAACTGCGAGTCTACGTGTCATTCTCTTTAAAAAGCTTGCCGCGATTCGGTTTTTTAGGTCTTGTATGTTTTTTTGGCTATGTTGATAAAAAGCAGCCGCTTTTGTATCTCTTCCGCGTCTATTACACCAGCGCCCGTTGTTCATTTACGTAGAATCCGGATTGAAGTTACATAATTGTGAACGGTCAAACGGATTTGCGCGAAGCGACCGAAAATGCGTTATTGTTCAGCGTTTAGCATGGTGGCGCTATTGCGGGTTCGTCTATTGTGTTTCAGCGGGAATAAAAATACAGACAGCAGTGATATATTCTATTGTTAGTACAGGAAAGCTGTCTGCATTTGCACTTGTGTCATAATGTGGCTGCTGTCCTAGGGAGGTGGTGCCTGACACCTTCACCCTTGAGGTCAAGAGTTTGTTCATCATGACCAATGCTCATGTTTGATTGTGATTGTTTGTGACAGGTATGGACGATGATGGACGGATTATTACCCCTCTAGAGGGTCAGATGGATTCCTTGTGGGCGTTGTGGGTCTTCTGGGAATGGAGGTAAAACCACAGTTGAGTTGGATCACATCTTGGGTGTTTTATCTAAACCTTGCGTATCAGATAATACCTGCATGATCACACATTATCGTAATGCATATAATGCTCAATCCATTTTTTCTTTGTGTTGTGGTCTTACGATGTAAGTGCACTGATGTATGAAGGAGAAAGTATAGGACTGCTACATCAGACTCAAGAGGAACGGAGAATGTTTTGCAGTGAAATGTGATCTTGTGGGCGTTTCATTACCGCCATGGGGCACTTGTTTTTTGCTTCCAGTAAGAGCAGTATTCGGAAATATACATCATTAAGATGAAGCTGTAAGAGAATCTTGTTTGTAAGGAAATTTTGAGCTTTGTTGTGATTGACCTGCATTTTCACAAGCTTCACATGTATTTGATTACAACTGCAAATGAGCTGAAAAGTCGGAGATTTGATGTTATGATTTAGTTTTATTTGTGCTCAATCCTTTTCAGTTGTCACATCTGTTTAGTATTACTTTTATAAGGAATGTGCCTCCTAATTAAAAAAAGTTCTACGTCAAAAGCATGTTTCCGTAAATGTTGAAAAAGTAAACCACTTAAAGAGGTTGTATGTAGGTTTTTGACCCTTCTAAGTAGGGCTTCACGATTGTGGCAAGTTTTTTTTTTTTTTTTTGCTTAAAATCAAGATCAGATTCTGTAAATGTTAAATAAAAGTTAATGATTAGCCTGTTATTATTGTTAATTCTCAAACACATGGTAAAACAACAATAATATCAGGCCTATGTGTTGCTTAAAATGCTAAATATTGTATTATGGTGGATTGAACAGACTTGCAATATGTCCTGTTTGTTAATTCACAGTAAAATAATGACATCAGAATGTAACTTCATAATTATAAAGTTGATTTATTATGTTTAAGACATGTGCTTGTCATCTGTCAGCATTATTAGACCATTATATTTCCATTATATATAGACTAGGGTTGTTATACTGACACAGTAAACATTTATTTTCATGCACAACACTGTGTTCGCTATGAAAGAAAAAAACATCAAATGCTTATCGTAATAACTCTAAAATGCGATATGCTCATTTAATTGTGCGCACAGGTTTCACCTTCACTTCAGAGTGCGGCTCATGGCTGCTGTCACTGTAAGAAAAACACATACATGCAAATCAAACCTCTGGCATGGCCCTCAAACAATTGCTCTGTGCAACAAACAGAACGTTATTTACAACTTCATTACCTGTTATTCACAGCATGTGCAGGTTATGTTCACTGAAGTAGGCATCATTTGTGTGCACGTGCGTACTTGGCAGTAAACAGACAGTGCGTCAGCTCACGTGTGATTTTTGCGACCGTGAATACATCATTACACGAAGACAGAAATGACATTTTGGGTGAATTATACCTTATAAATACAGTTTGTGACACTTAAAACGCCATTTGAAGGTGTCAATGTTGCTGTGAATACTTGTGGGGACGCCTTTTCTTCTCTCCTGACCTTGAAAATATAATTGGCTGAATCGTAAAAAAAGCTGAATTAGGATTGTAGGTAGGATCGAATCAAGATCCTGATCTTTTTTTCGATTAATCATGCAGTCCGACTTCTAAGGCATAAAAATACCATGATATATTTGTAGATATTTAAAAAAAACATGCTAAGTGAATGTACTTGTTTATCTTAGAAAGTCAGTTACTCAATTTGAAATTGTGCGTTCTTTGTCAGAAAGTCTCTTTATTTTGGTCTCTATAACCTGCCCACTGCCAGTTCACCCAATTATATTTCCATACTCTGTTGTGCCGTAGTGGGAAACAGCACAGTTCATTTCAGTCTTGAAGGCTTATTGCCTCTATGTATCCAGCTGTGGCTCAAAATACAACCTCTGGAAGAGAGAGTAGCATCTTCCATAATGAGATGCAGATTCAGAGCTATAAAAATCCAGATCATTTTTTTTTTTACTGACAAATAATATAAAGTAGGGCTGCACAATATTTCGTTTCAGCATTCATATAGCAATGTGTGCATCCGCAGTAGTCACTTCACAAAGAGATTCAATGTTAAGTCTGGATTATAGTTGACCCGGAGCTACAGAATTGTATTTACATGTAATTTATATGATTTATGCAAAAAGAAAACATTTCTTATTTAGAATTTCTGTCTTGTTTTTAGCCCAAATATCTTTATTTCAAAGCAAACGCAAGGTTATTTGACTTACCTCACTGGCAGATAATTTCTTTAAAACAAGCAAAAAACTGTTCGTTTTCACTTATTTCTTCTGACGGTGAAAACCAAACAATTTTTTTGAGGAATGCTCTGATCAGGATTTTTGCAGCCGATTCGGAAGTACTGATTCCTTGTCATTGTGATCACCCAGTACCAATTCTGATGCTTCAAGCTTTGTATAACTTGGCCATTGCATAAGCACGTTTTCCCCCTATGTATGAGATTTTGCCTTAACTAGGAGAATAAATTAAGGATGTTGTAGCTTGACAAAAAAAAATAGATAAAACAGATAGGAAAATGTTTTTTTTTTTAAATTACTGACGATGCAATTTGGAAGCATTGCTCATGTGTTGTAGCATTGTAGATGTCTTATCAGAGTTATAAAAAAACACTTGCGATCGGTTCATAAGATTGGCCAGATCAGCAAGTACCGATCAAGTTGTGAAATCTGATTATCGGCCAATCGACCAGAGCATTCCTTATATTTTTACTTTGTCTAAGAATTGTTTTTGATACTTGGACTAGAAACAAGACAAACACAAGGAAAGCATTTACTTTGCTTTGTGATTTTTATTTTTTATTTTTCTCTCCCCATTTCTGTACCTGCATATTGTTAGACTTTAATAAAAGTGAAAATTATGCTATTCAAACCATCTTCTGAATTCATATTGTAATATTTATCACAGTAAAGTAGTATTAGATTTTTTTCAACATTGTGCAGGCCTAATGTCAATATTACAAACATAAACATTAGTTGAGCAGCTTATATTGTAACATCATGTCTTCATAACATGTGACCTGACAAGATTCCAGCAACAAGCAATTAAGCAGTCAGTGCATCAGATGTAACATAACAGAAATTTTCAAACGCCATAGCCGTTCTGAACCACAGAATAATGCATTGTAGTCCAACCGAATTGTAAAGTCTAATAATGAATATTAAACCACTTTACTTTTGTTAAAAGTACACGCTGACTGCTGCTGAGTGACTGATATCTAGTGGTTTGCACTAAATAACAGTTCTAGCTTTCTTTTTTAAAATATATTTGTTTGCTAGTTATTTTATTTTCAAGGTCTGAGGTCAACTTTCTGCTGCAGCAGATGTCACAAAGTGTCACATTAGTAGCATTTAACCCTGAATAAAGCACATAATCAGCACCTGAGGTCATCAGAGTTATAGTTTGTGCAGTACAATATGTTGCAGAAAATAAAACTTTAATAAAATATAAATTTCAAGCATCACGGATGATTAGGAGGACACTTTCCCTTTTAACGTGTAAAAGATTTGTTTTATTGCACAACGTTGTGTGTAGTTAGATCACTGTATATGCGGCATAGTCACGCATGCTCACTCCTGTTTGTGTTGTTCATCTGGCAACTTGCATGTGTGTGGAGTTGTTGGAGAAACCGGGTAAAAAGAAAAAAACTCTCCAGTGTTTTGAATTTGGTCTGCAGTACGTAGTTTAACCACTAGTTGTCAATCCGACATTCTGCACGGACATGCAGAATTTAAATGATAAAGGTGCAGTGTGACAATGTTATTAAATGGGTCTCATAGTAAATAGGTTTGTAAGATGAACAAGATATCATCTGCTTCATCTACACATTCTCCAAGTTTTTAGCCTCCATAAAAACAAATCTCCACATGGCATGGTCGCTGTCAAACCAGCAGGTGGCGATTATACATCCATGTTGACCAATCAGAAGCCTGAACCCCGGCAGTAGTTTTCAAAAAGATTTGGGCTGTATCCGAAATCGCCCTCTATACATTCAGTGAGTTTGAGCAGGAATATTTAGTGGTGTCTGTGATTAAGTGCACTTCATAATGTCACTTCAGTTAATCTCACAAAAATAAAAAAAATAAAAAAAAATAAGTCTACAACCTATGCACACTCAACGGCCAGAAAGTCCCAATAATGCACTGTAAGAGCTGGCGTGCCAATGAATTTCCGCTTCTGGCCAGTTTTAGTAGTGCAAGCTTCAAAATAAAATCTAATTTAAAGTAGCGTTTGTATACATGACAGAAATTAAAAGTATTTGTTTCCTAATAGACAGCTTGCTAAGTGTTAAATAACTTTTACAGGGTCTGACCAAGAAGTTGAAAATCTAATTTATCTGTGGGATTTATCAACCAGCAAAACAAATTAAATGGCATTTCTTCTACGAGTACTAAAATTCGATCACTTGTTTCATTCGCTCCTTCAAGTGGACCATTTAAGGAAATAGTGAATGAGGGTATAGGGGTGATTTTGGATGAAGCTTTGGTTTTAGCTACCTGATACTACATTTACATATACAGTACATGAATGACCAAACCACATAGAAACACACAACAGGGACCTTTACCATGAAACCAGACTAGCTAGTTGGAGCATAAAATTTCAGTTTAGTTTGATCCAATTCAGGGATTTAGCTATGATAAATGTAGCTTACCGTTGATTGCTCTTTAACACTTATGCTACATGGCTAACTTGCAGATTATGTTCTTGTTTAAAGTTTGCAAACCGAGATTCAATCAAGCGACTGATCTCTGATGCAATAAATCCGCTTTTCCTGTTTCTCTAAATTATAGGTGATGCTATTTAGTATAACGCTTAAAGATAAAATCACCCGATTTTAATGAAGTTTATTGATTACTACTGATGTCCTGCCTTCATGTGCTCAAACTCGGGATCAAAGCCTGAGTTAACAGAGAAAGATGATAATCAGAATCCTTGAACCAACCTGAAAAATGAAAATGCCAGGCTTATTTTGGTAAGATAGGTTTATTAATGGCGGATTCGGTTTCATA